CCCCCCCCCCCAAATATAAAAGAGCCTTATATACAAAAAATGTTCTTAGTCAAATTTGTTCAAGTCAGATCAATAAAAGTTGTTGAATTTATTAAGTTGGCAATTTTAAATTTAAAAACGGTTCACACCATTAGATTGCAAAGATATAGGGATTAGAAAATTTGAGTTGGTGGAAAAGACTCAATTCCTTTATGAAGTCTTTAAGAAAAACACTTTTTATTGAGTTATGGACAACATTTTGAATTAAGATTTAAGATGACTGTATACGTTATTTAAAGTGGTCCTCCATGCTAAGATCCCAATACCCGATTCACAACATTATCTTTGGGATCTTTATCTGCTCAATGATGTGGAGGATGTTGTCGTTTTTCTAGGTTTAAACATGAAATTACGCTTATAATTTCTTAATTCCTTATAAAGAGAAAAGGTTTCTGTTCCTGGCACCTTTGGACATCTAGCATCTAAGGTTTGGCAGACAAGGTGGAAGGTTTAGCGTTTGTAATCACAGATTAAATACAAAAAAGTCTCTAATTTATAAAGTATGCCATTTTTAATATGCATATTCAGCCAATTCAAATTGATAAAGTCGGAAAATCAAAATTTTTAAAGTCTTTTCTTAATTTTTTTAAATCGGCCATTTTTTATGTAAAAGATTAATCAAACCTGTGGGCGTTAAACTCTATTCTGTCTTTTCCAGTAGTGGGTACTCCAATAATTAACTGAAAATAGTAGTGGGTACTCCAATAATTAACTGAAAATAGTAGTGGGTACTCCAATAATTAACTGAAAATAGTAGTTGGTACTCCATTAATTAACTGAAAATAATAGTGGGTACTCCAATAATTAACTGAAAATAGTAGTGGGTACTCCAATAATTAATAAAATAGAAGTTGCATTACTCCAATAAATAACTGGAAATCATGAAAATTATCATTTATTATTTATTCAAATAAACAATTTTGGAGGACTTTTTTCAAACAGATTAATTTAATCCAAACAATAGATTGTTAGAAAACATTTTTTTCTGGAATTCGAACGGCTCAAATAGATTCTAGTTCAATAGATGGCAATGCAAAATTTATACACTCTCAGTACAGCTGTATTCTGACGTAACAAGTGTCAACTTAGTTTTTGTGTCCGACAAAATTATTAATAATAGTGATAATTTTAGAATTAAGTGCATATGTTTCAGTAAAATAAGTTCAATGGTATGTGTTTTATAAGTTTTTGTTTTTACACTTTTTTATTTAATCTTGGAAAACTAATGTGAGACAATTTCAGTTTCCTTGTTATATTTGACACTTGTGACGTCGTGAATAATTGGTTCATTTCTCTGTTGCCACCTATTGTACTTGATAATCTATTTTGAAGGGCTGAAAACATTATTCCTTGACAGAATGTTAACTATATCTTTACAAATTAAGAAATCACTTACACATTCTGTTCCTAAGTTTAAACAAACTGTTTAAAACTTTGAAATGCGTTCGATTAGTAAGTAATTTATATTTTTCTCTTTTCTGTTGGAAAGCTGTATTTTCAAAAACTTTATTTAAACAAATTTAAACTACACCATTTATATATGTATTTATATCTTTGTGTGTGAAAGAATCTTTATAACATAATAATAATATTACAAAATAAAAAACTGGAGAAAATATTTAATAACCTCCAAAATTAGAGGTTGTGGGAATATTTCCCCCAAATTCTAAACAAAGGAAAAAGAAAGAAAAATATTATTCATTGTTTACATTACATATTACAAACAAAATGTTAAGATTTCTTTAATAGCGTATTATTTTCAATTCAACTACTGCAGGTGCAGCGTGCAATGAAGTTGTTCGTTTTCAAACAAATTATATTAACAATTACTCTTTAAAAGGAGTGTTCGCGAAAAATGAAAGGGGGTATAGGCTTAAGGCGAAAAAAAACGCTTTAGATTGCTACTAATCTTGCTTCTATCTGTTGCGTCTATTTATAGGAGAAAATTGTTAAAAAAAAGACTTATACCGAAGAACGTTATAGCGTCCATAAAGATGCAACATTGAACTCGGATCGTAAACAATTAAATTTAATTCTAAATAAATCATTCAGATATTACAAACAATATTCATCGATTATTTTTCTACACATTTGTCTATAGTTGATATTTCAAAATATTTTATTTATTTTTCATGATCTGAGAGTTACTTTTGAAAACATTTATTCCTGCTTCAAAGATTTTTGATACTGAAGACGACATTGTCATATTTTCCAGGAATTTTCGAACATCCAGGGCCAGCGAAATATTATTAAAAAAAAAATCAAAAATATTACGAAATATTAACTATATACGAATGCGTCTAAAAATAATCGATGACTATTGTTTGTAATATCTGAATGATTTGTTTGGAATTAAATTGATTATTTTAGGATCTCATATGAATGTTGCAACTTTCCGAATTTGTATGGACGCTACGTTCGCCGGTATGAGTCGTTTTTAACAGTTTTCTCTCCTTTTTGACGCAACTGCCGATAGAAGTAAGATTAGTAGCGCTAAAAAGCGCTTATTTTTCGCCGTAAGCCTATACTCCCTTTTATTTTTCGCGAACACTCCCTTTAAAGATTTTACAGGGACTGTAATCGTAATTTTATGGTTGGAGATTTAAAAAGGGGTGCTCCATTCACAACAGTATCCTTTTATCCTGAAAAGCCTGAGAAATTGGTGATTTTTGTTTGTACTTTCTCTATAAAAGTCTGAAATTTTTTTGCAGCAAAAAAAAGAACGTAATAAATAAAATTCAACATTCTTCTCATTATATTACCGTTGTAAATCGGGCGTGCCACGTATTTTTTTCAATTGGAGGACTTCTTAAAATACTGATCACAATCCCTTTTTAAGAGAAATTTTTAAAAAGTAAAAATTACCTTCGCATCAGGACTGGTTACACAGCTTGCTCTTGCAATAGTTAAAATATCCCCCCAGGGGTTTATAGCATCTCCGTAGCGACCTGTGGTAGGCATATTTATCAATAAAATAATTCCCTCAGTGGTTTAAATCAATTATATCTAATATCTAATGTCTAATGTCTAATGTCCAATGGCTAATGTCTAATTGTTTAATGTCTAATATCAAATGTTACATGTCTAATGTCTAATGTGTAATGCCTAATGTTTAATGTCTAATGTTTAATGTCTAATGTTTAATGTCAATGTCTAATGTCTAATGTCTAATGTCTAATGTCTAATGTCTAATGTCTAATGTCTAATGTCTAATGTCTAATGTCTAATGTCTAATGTCTAATGTCTAATGTGTCAAATGTCTAATGTCTAATGTCTAATGTCTAATGTCTAATGTCTAATACCTAATGAGTGTCTAATGTCTAATGTCTAATGTCTAATGTCTAATGTCTAATATCTAATGAGTGTCTAATGTCTAATGTCTAATGTCTAATGTCTAATGTCTAATGTCTAATACCTAATGAGTGTCTAATGTCTAATGTCTAATGTTTACCTAGCCCTGAATGTTCCACTGAGGAGTAAGTGACAATTATATCAAAAACTGGCAGCTTTCCTTCTTTATACATTTGCCTAATCATATATCAAAGGGACTGTTAGCGTAATTTCAAGTAACCCTCCATGCAAAGATGGCAATCCTCGATTTACAAAGGTACCCTTGAAACATACATACATAAACATGATCAGACAAAGCTTTTTAAGGTACGGAATTGTAAATCGGGTATTGCCATCTTTTAATGGAGGGTCAAATGAAATAACGCTTACAGTCCCATTAATTTCAGCAAATTTAAAATAGCATTCGATAAACTTAAAGGGACCGTTCACTTGTTTGGGTAATTTCAGGGTAAACTAAACAGCCTAAGCGCTATTCATTGGTAATAGTCTTACTTTTCAAAGACATGGTAACGAATTCAAGTCCAGGATACTCACTTTTTATCAGACAATGCTTTTTAGGGTACCCTTGTAAATGCAAATATAAAAATTTCTATCATATTTGCATTTAATTAACGCTTACAGTCCCATTAATTTCAGCAAATTTAAAATAGCATTCGATAAACTTAATTGTTTGTCTAAAAATAAATTATTTTGGTCAAATTTTGGTTAAATTGAATATTTTAACTATTATAATTTAAGCGCACAAGAAAAATTATCAAAGAATTATTTTTTATTCTCATTGCTTACCTAAATACTAATGGGGTAACGAATTCAAGTCCAGGATACTCACTTTTTGAAGTGGCGTACTCTAGCGTCATTACTTGGGATGGTTGTCTGAAATAGAGATATAAACAATATAATATAGTTGTACTTGGGAACAAGCGGAATCAGGTAGATGTAGATTTTAATAACATTTCTCACGCTACAGGCGCTAGTATCTCCTTATGTTGTATCAGCTGAAACCCTGTAAAAGAAAGCAAGCAGAATCCTGTTTTCTCTCAGCTTTCTACAGACTCAGTGACCTCTACGGCACTTTGCTTGAAGTTCTAAAGTCCCTGCAGCGGTGTAAAGTGATCCACTTCAAACTCAAGCTTTAATTACACGTTATAAGAACAAAATCTTAAATCTTTTTGATCCTCCTCTTATTAAAGTGCTATTAAATAGAACAAAAATATTTTACATTTTAAATATTCTTGACACTGACAAACAATGGTGGGATTCGGAACTCAAATGTGGGGTTAAAGGGAGTGACCGGCTATGTAAGGTAATTGAACTGAGTATGCAGTGTTGTCGAAAACTTCTTTAGGATTCATTTAAGACATATTTCACTTTTTAAAGATCTGTAAGTCCTGAGTTTGAGCGCAAATTCGACGTTCAAAACTTCTGATTTGGGGGTGGATACGCTTTCAGAATTAGTTTTTTTTTTAAATTATTAAATAACGACAACGAAAAATAAAGTAAAAATTATACAGTAATCAAATTAGATGGCTAGGAACATATTTCACAAAAGAAATTTGTCAATAAATCCATGCTAAAATCGATTATTTCGTTTTCATTATTATATTGAATTTCTAATTTTCTTTGAATTTATTCGCAGATTTCTTCAAATTCTTTAAATGTCGTCTTTTCAATAATAATTATAGAAAATCTGTGAACATCTTTGTGAATAACGAGAAACTAGAATAATGAGATAATAGAAACTAATAATTGAACAAGATTACTTATTTTTGATATTAAGATTATTTTTTTTTTTCTCAAAATGTTCCTAAACATGATGTCTGTAGTTTATTGTAGAATATTTTTACATTTTATGTCGTCGTTAATTAATAATTAAAAAAAAACTAATTTTGAAAGCGTATCCACCCCCAAATAGTGAAATATGTCTCAAATGAATCCTAAAGAAGTTTTCCACAACACTGCGTCCTCAGTTCAACTACCTTACATAGCCGGTCACTCCCTTTAAGAATAGACACGGAATAAAATATGATGGGTTAACGGCTGTATCTCTCTAGTTCGCTCTCATAGGCCGCTGGAGACATGTGGACAGAAATTTACACTGTGGACAAGGGTCAATTTTAATTCAAACCGGACCGACTTCCTTGTACTGGCCTTAGTGACACGCATCAAGTACCAGCACGACCCTATCCTATACCAGCTCAGTTTCAACTTTGATAGCACGGCCAGACTTTTACACGTTGACCTACTCCGCTAGCTAAGTTTAGTGTTGTTAACGTTATGTCACGTACCATCTATTTTATAAAAATAGAAATAGCTTTTTTTGCCTTACTTAGAAATAATCACCGCCTCCACCCAGGGTGTCATTGTTCCAATAATTAGCACAGTTTTTTCCTTCACTTCAATTTTGCTTAAGGCCTGTGAAAAAAAATCATCAAAACAAGATATTAGTGGTCGGCGTATGTATCAATACAATGAAGAGGACTTTTTAAATTTAAGTTTTGATTTTTAACAAGCTTTTAAAATTACAAGTTTTCATGGAAACAAAGAAAAGCTGTTAATTGACAGCTTCCCTCTGTTTCCATGTTATGTGATTCATGTTGTTTGAAAGCTTTGTAGGAATCAGAATTAGAATAAAAACCATCTTTGTTGTATTGATATATACGACCACGTCTGTAAAATACAAACGACAACAAAAAATATGGAATTGATATTATTTACGAATAAAAAAAACTTAGTAATGAAAAAAATAGAATTTAAAAAAAATATTAATCTATAATACCTGATTTATCATCTCGCTTGCGCCAGGGTATGTATCATTAGGAGTACCAGCAACAAACCCATCAACTTAAATAAAGAAAATTATAAAATAAAATAAAATAAATTTTGTTTCAACTATGGACAATGATTATTCGGCTGAAGTTGAAAGAAAAAAAGACAAAAGCCTATTTACAGTATTGCTCTGAAAATGTTCAAAATGAAAGAATCAAAATTATTTTATCGCCCTCCAAACATGCATTAATCTTACCGTAGCTCTGTACAAAGGATTTTGTGTAGATTCTTACATCGTTGGCTTCTTGTTGTACTACTTGACTTGTTTCATCTACAAACAAGATTAATCTAATTCTACCTCACAATAAATGGGAAATTGCAAGAAAATGTCACAATTATGTTTTTTTATATTTAAAGGGACTGCAGACGTAATTTCAAATGACTCTCCATTTAAAAGGGGCAATTTCAATTTACAACAGTTCATGCATGAGCTCTTACTAGGGTTTCCAGCGAACGAAATGATTCGCGAAAAAATGCAAATATGTTTGTTCGTACTTTGCAAACTTTTTAGCGAAATTTTGAATTTTTTTTCGCGAAAATTAATGAAACGAATTTTTTTATATTCCGTATTTTTTCGCGAAATTTTCGCTTTTTTCGCGAGACAATGCAAAATTTGGTGAAACAATTTTCTTTTTTCGCTCGAAACCCCAGTTCTTACTCACTTTCGCTTTGTAAATTGATTATTTGGTTAACAGGGGGGCTCAGCTAAAACAGCAACAGGCTGCGGAAAATAATATTTTACATATTGTGATTTATAAAAATTAAATTCGTAAATATTGTTTTTTTTCTGCAGAAATAAATGATTTAATTTGATTTGATTTGATTTGATTTTCAATAGGGATTTCCCTATAAAATAACTTGCGGATTTTTGATTCAGAGTACTGGAAGGAATTATCAGAACTAGATACTTTAAAGCCCAAAATAAGGTTTAATGGGTACTGTTGTGAATAATACATTCTTAAAATTGTGGGTCATGCACTTGAAATACTTTATCAGTCCCTTTAGAATGTAAAATCTAAATAAGTGTTTACCAAAAAAGGAAGAAACAATGTCCACTTGTCCATTGTGGGAAAATTCATTCTAAATAAAGAAAAGGGTTGGAATAAGGTTTTCTATGTTTTTCCGGATAAATTCTGTGACAGAATGTTTTTACCAAGGAGAATTGAATACAATAATAAAGGCAGCCGATCTAATGAAAACAAGCATGAGTTAGTATACGGTGAATCTTCATCTAACGCCAGAGATGCACAAATGTCTGTTTATCATTTGTGTTATTGTTTACAATCTTTATTATTGTTATTACGCAAAAACTAGTTCTCCAGCAGTCCAAATACGTCACAGCAAAGTGTACGGAAACCCTATTGCCCCCTCCTTGTATTCAATTCTCCTTGGCTTTTACAATCCCATTGCAGTATCATCACACTATTTTAAATTAGACCTATTTATCATATATTCACGATGAGACTGAGAGTGGCATACAATCTTATAAGTGCACTGGGGAGTTAGCTTTCGACGAGGTTATAGTGTATAGAGTGATGATGTACGCTAATCAGGCCCGTAACCAGGTGAGGCATTTCCGTGGTGAGGCGTTTCCATAGTACCCCCTTGACCCTTGAAAAGCTTTTTTTTAAATGAATAAGAAATAAGATCATATCATTTTCATATTGCAAAGTCAAAGTAATAAATGATTACTTGACTCTGATAGTTAAGCAGTACTCCCTTAAAAGCTCAAATACACTTGTTAAAAAGGTTAGCCTTTATAGTGTGCATTGACATTGTAATAAAAACAACCATATACCACTGTAAAACCAAACCAAACATTGTTTAAAAAATCATTTAAAACCCCCCCAAAAAATCCTGGTTACGGGCCTGAGTCGCTAATCCTTTCTAATTGTATAGGCCATAAACTATGCCGAAAGCGTACTGCATATTTGTTTAATAAGTTGATTCTGGCCTAACCTATAGTACAGGGTGTCCCACATCATATTAGACCGTCAACGGGTCTAAATTACGATTTTCGGGACTAATAAGAAAATTTAATTAGAATGAATCAATTTGAAAAATAACATAAGGCTTATATAAGAATTTTCTTGCGGAAAATGATAAGTTTTTCGAGTATTAAGGGTTTATTTTGTCGTTAAAGATTGGAGATAATCTAATATTATATGGGACACTCTGCATATCAATATTAGTTGTAAGTGTAAGTGTACAGTACAGCTAACTGAGCACACAGGTAGAGAACTATTATCCCCCTGGTAGGTTTATATCTTAAATTTGAGAACGTTTAGCGCTACTTACGCACCCCTGACCCTTTAGTAAAAGTAAAGTCACCCTAAAGTCTGACCGCGTCAACCTTGTTGCACCGACTATTCCTATTGAGTGTCTGCTTTATTTACCCAATGTCTGGGCGATACAGTACAAACTGCGACCGGAAAGGTTGAGCTGGCTCGGAAATCCAAATGTACTACGGCTGCCCGTGTACTCTGCACAGAACTGGTGAGAATGTGCATGCTCTCATCTAACTGGTGCTACTATGAGCAATTTTTACATGAAATTATTGTTAATGGCTCGTTAACGACTAGCACTGTTATCAATTTTCAAAATATCTTCCGTAAATAATGTTAATAAAATTTAGTTTACAAACCAAAACTTTGAGAAATACCTTTATCGAACAGAACTTTCAGTTCTTAGCTAAAGAAGGAACGGCTTCCAGAAAAGCGTTTTTAAAAACTATTTTAACTAACTGCTTTACGAATGGCATGAAAAAAGTCTGAACTTTGATGTGTTTTTAACAATTTTCTCTTTACCTGTAGATTGTGGGGTATTGTTTCCCAAGCCATTGGAGGATGTCCACTTGGACGATCTATCTCAGCACTAGAGAACACTGCTTCACAATCAACCTAATCAAGATCACAATTTAAACTAAGCAAGTGGAATAAGGTCAAATTTGTGTTGAAAGTCTGGTCGCACCGGCGCACCATCAAAGTTGAAACCGGGCTGACATAGACTAGGGGCGGGACGGTACTTGCTGCACCTCACAAAGACTGGTACAAGGGGTCAGTCCGGTTCAAAATCAAATTGACCTTTGTCCACCGTGAGATGCGTTAAATGTGCCAAATTTCATTTTATGCATTGAAAAATAATGCAGATGACAATTCATTCTATAAAAATGTTGTATGTAAAGTTATAGCATAGAATTAGCCATATAAATAATGTTCAATTTTTGATTTATTTGTTCCTCATGACATAAAAAAATTTTCTTGAAGATAAGGAGAAATTAAATCTTTACCAGAAATAACACAGTTTTGCCTACGATTCTGTTTTAGATTATCTATAATAGATTTAGATAATTTAAACCAAATCGCACGCAAAAGTAAAACTGTGTTATTTCTTGTAAAAATTGAACCTCTCTATCTTCAGCATCAGCAGACATGTACAAAATATTATATTATAGGAGAAAATCGCAAAAAATCAAACATTAATAATTAAACGACAACTACCCCAGGGAGCGAGAATGTTTACTTACATTAACAAAAAAATTGATTAATACGTTTATGTTATAATACAGGGTGTCCCACGAAACATGACATTTAGTGAATAGTTTTAAATGTCTTCTTCCACATACTGTATTTGATATTAAAGACTTTTTGCAGTTTATTTCTTAAAAAAATGTTTAACTATATTTTACTGTGAAAATCAATTTCACTATAATGTAACTGTCATATAAAAAATATTATTAGTCTCTTTAGTATCAAACAACTTATCAAATCATTTTAAACTATTCACCAATTGTCATGTTTCGTGGGACACCCTGTTGATGCCATGGCGTCTTTAAAATCTTAAATTAACGCTGCATTTCTGTTTGATCGTGGGCAAAAAATTGTTCAGTTTTTACAATCGACACTCAGAGGTGTACGCATCTTTTGTACTGCAGTGTACTGTCACTGGGCGGTAATGTAAACACAAGACGGATGTTAAAGCCTGACATGGGATCCATCTTTCACATAAAAAAATCAATGGAATATTCTGATCATAAGAAACTACTATGTGAATTATCAAAATTATTAAAATTTAATGCTTTTAACCTCCTCGGATACTAAACGAACACTGATGCATCTATTTTTGTTTACAAATTCCGTCCAAAGAAAACTGGTTTCAATATGTACGCAGAGTATACACGACCGCAATTAAATTTCCTTGCATTACGTCCTTGCTCATTAGTTGCTTTAGATAAATTCCTGAATATTAATGAAATATTAAATTAATCTAAGGATTAATAACAAAGGAGAATAAGCATTGGTCTCGTCAATATAGAGATCATATGCAGGGATTTCAACGATGGGAAACTTACCTTTGCTGTTACAGTTCCCATTCCCAATAGGTCTCCAGCTGTCCTTTTTATAGGTTTAGATAGATCACATAGTTCTCCGCATAGTTGCAGAATATCTTCATATCTTCCACCTGGAACAAGTATAGATATGAGAAATAGGGTTATTTTTACTTGCATGCCTTCAAGCATGCTGAAAGGGACTGTAAGCGTAATTTCAAGTGACCTTCCGATAACACTTTGCAAGCTGTTACATGTATCAATAGCTATGTTCTATATAAAGGGCTAGAACAACTTTTTTAACTTAAAACAGTCGATAATTTGAGTTGCGTAAGCAACAGATCAGCTGCGTTGAGATTACTGTGTTGCACAGTGTACAGTGTACAGGTCGCTTTTAGAACAATTAGAACAGGTTCCGATATATGTTTTAACGATATTTTTCTACTCGATGAACACTTGATCAGTCAAGGGTTTGAAGGGTACCGTTGTCCATCGGGCGTTGCCCTCTTTGCATGGAGGGTCACTTGAAATTACGAACGGTTCTGTCAATATTCCAGAAAGCTATAACTTACGATCATAATTTGACCCATTAAACATAATTTTTTACCCTTTTTTCTCAAACACTTTTTTGCCGGCATATACTTTTTGAATGAAAAATTTTAAACCACAAATCCGTAAGTTTAAAGAATGTTTAATTATAGACTAAAACAGGTATGATTTAAAATAGAAGAAACCGAAATGCTTCTAACTCTGGTTAGTCCCGGGTGGCTTACAGACCCTTTAAATTTAATTCCGCGCAATTCTGTGATAATTTCGTGCTATAATATACGCAATTAAATATTTTGCAATCCGGTCGAAATTCTATTTTTCATAAACTATTTTTGAACTTATTTCACTTCAAGAAACTTAAACCTCAATAATTCTTAGCCTTAGTGTTAGGTGGCAAGGAATAGATTCTAGTACAATAGATGGCAACGTAGAATTTGTACACTCTCAGTACAGCTGTATTCTTACGTCACAAGTGTCAACTTAGTTTTTGTGTCCGACAAAATTATTAATAATAAATATAATTTTGGAATAAAGTGATTATCTTACGGTAAATGAAATGGAATTTTGTGTTCTTTATTTTCTGTTTTTACACTTTTTTATTTAATCTTGGAAAACATGTCAACTAATGCCAGAAAATTTTATTTTCCTTGACACTTGTGACGTCGTGTATAATTGGTCCATATCTCTGTTGCCACCTATTGTACTTGAAAATGTATTTGGTCCAAAATACTAAGCAAATATTACCGAGAGAGGGCCGTAAGTTAGATTGTTCCACACTACTATCCTTCTTCTAAAATGAAAAAAGGTGACTATGGATTAATTAGAACCCTTTTTATCCATTTTAAGGTCTCACAGTTGAGGAAACAGTTCATAACTTTTGAATAATATTTTGATCCATGACCCCAAGAAACTTGATGTTAAATGAACTGCAAAGAGGTCAAGTTTTATTACTGTGTGTTCGTTCTTACCTCCATTCCCTGAAGTTGTACCACGGGTCGATTATTATGTTCATAGTGACGAAAATTAATCCAACCCTACAGTCAAAGAGATTTGATTAGTAAAGAGTGGAATTAAGTCGAAAAAAAATGTTAAAACCGCTATTTTGTTGTACTGTTTTCATACTGAAGAGCCCGAAGTTTAAAAGAGTATCATTGAATGAAACTCCCAAGTTTCCTTTTTGGGGTCTAACATTTGTGTAGATTTTGATTTGAGAGATTCGAAAAAAATGGAGTATATGAGAAACTGAATAAAATAATATTCTTAACAAAAATATTGAAATCCACAAAACTGCCTAACTCCATTCGTGAAACCCTGGTTTCAAGAATGGGGTTAGGCAGTTTTGTGGATAACAATATTTTTGTTATGAAATATTTTTTTTTATTTAGTTTCTTCACATTTTCCATTTTTGTCGAATCTCTTAAATCAAATCTACAAAATGTTAAGACCCCAAAAAGGAAACTCGGGAGTTTCGTTCAACGATACTCTTTTAAATTTCGGGCTCTGTCTTAAGTTTTGGGCTCAGGCCATATATGTTATGAGACCAGTTTTGGAACCCGGGTTTCACGAATATTTTAAAAGATTTTGAATAAAAGATAGTTTTTTACTAAATGAACGAATTTTTCGGACACATTTTTAAAATAACAATAGTTTTTTACTGAAAAAAAAAATTTTGATCAAACTTTTGAAAAACATATTGTTTTTTTTTTACCCAAAGAGCAATTTTACTGAACAATCGTTTCGAGAGAAAACAAACAAAATAGATAGAAAATGAATGAAAATTTTAAGAACAAACGAATGATTGGGAAAAAAACGAACAAAATGTGTATTTCACTTATGATGAATGATCAACATTAAAAACAGTGGACGCGCCTATCTCTGTCCCCCCCCCCCCACTGCGAACAACATGCAATCGTGATAGGTTAACAAGTAACAACTTCTTATTTTAAAAAACCCTATTCCAAAACATCTTGAAAATATCCCACATAGTTCTTACCATGTAAAGTCCGAAAAGACAAATTACCCCTAAAGTAAACTGTCTTTCTGCCCGATAAAACATCATCTTCTAAACAAGGTATTTTTCACATATTTTATTATTACTAAGTACCTTGATATCCTTGTTTTTCTTTCTCCAAATTGTTTACTTAATGGGACTGTAAAGGAAAAATGAAAGGGGTATAGGCTGAAACCTAAGCATTTTAGGTTTTGATCGAGACCCATGAGAGTTCTATCTGATCCTCCTGTCTTGAGAAATTAATATAAAACTGTGTCAAATTTATACGAAAATCTATATATATACATGATATTTTGTATAAAAATAGTAGGTTTAAACGGATCATACTCAGCACTTACATAACCAATCTGAAAACGACGATATCCCAGAGGAACCTGAGCAACTTAGGTTGCTTCTATTATTATTTAAATTTAATAATTTTTCATTTATAAAAGATATAATTGATAATATTATTTATACTTAATTCCTATAATTTAAATAAATATTTGCTGTATGCACAAATCCTTCTTATATGACTAGTTCATTAAACAAACACGTTGGGATTTCAAAACTGAGATTCAGAATTGATAAATATTTTGTTAGATATTTTTAAAAATATTTATAAACTAACAGATTTTGGAAACAAATCCATGTTTTATGTATTACAGCTAGTCTATCAGACTAAACCCTTAACTAAAATATTTATTTGTTCACCAGCTGTAAGATTAAAGATGTTCCAAAGATCTATTTGATAGATAAAGACCACATACACTTGTAAAATATTAAACACTCAAAATTTTCCAAGTTCAATGATTGATTTACAAAAAAAGGAGATTTACTTCACAGATTTATAAAACCAAATAAAAGCTTGCAAAATGACAGTGGGAGGTTGCGTGATTTCCAAAATATCTCCTGAATCAATTTTTTTATTTTTTTTTCCAGAAAAAGGGTTGAGATTAATATATTTGTCAAAACACATATTCATGGTTCATAGGGTTCATAGGGTTCATAGGGTTGTGCATAGGGTTCATAGGGTTCATAGGGTTCATAGGGTTCATAGGGTTGTGCATAGGGTTCATTTTTTATAAAGGGCTAAATTCTTTTCCTGAACCTAACAAGCAACAGTTCAGGAGTAGGGTTGTGCATTGTTAACAGTATAGGAGTAGGGTTGTGCATTGTTAACAGTTCAGGAGTAGGGTTGTGCATTGTTAACAGTTCAGGAGTAGGGTTGTGCATAGTTAACAGGCAAGGTAACAAGGGAACAAAATGTTCATTCTATTACATTTCTAAGTTTCATAAAAATCAATTGATGCGTAAAAGAGTTTTTACAATAGTCAGTACACTGGACCAAATCTTAGAAAATCTTACAAATGTGACACAGGGGCGTTCTGGAGGTTTAGCCTAGGAGGGTGAATTTGTTTTGGTTCATATAGACTACAGTTAATGACTAATGTTTGTAAAAAAAATTAGCTAGTCTTCATCAGTTAAAATTTAGAACAAATGTAGATGTTTCCAATTCAAAAACAAAATGTATAGTTTTCAGTAACCCTGTCATGAATACTGATAATAATTGCCCGATACTTTTAAACAATTTACCCTTACCCTATGTAACAGAAATTAAACATCTTGGCATATTACAGTCTAATGGTTCAATGTCAAAAGATAATAGCTATATACGTGATAAATTTATTTCTAAGATACATTCTCTTAATCCAGAATTTCATTATGCAAATACATCCACAGTGTTAAAATTGTATGATATATATAATTGTGATTTCTATGGCTCAAATCTCTGGGATTTATACAGTAGGGATGTTCAAAAACTCCTGAATTCATGGAACATTGCTATACGCATTTTAATTGATCTACCAAGAGAAACCCATAGATATTTCATTGAGCCCATTTCTAATATTCCTCATATTAAAACAGTTTTATGCACTCGTTTTGTACAATTTGTGACCAGTTTATCAAATTGTCATAAGCCATGTATTCGACTTTTAGTAGATCTAAGTAAACAGGATTTAAGAACTGTTTTATGTAAAAATCTTGAATCTATTGCACAAGATTGTAATGTACAATCTAAAAATCTAAACAAATTTTGTGTAAAAAAAATATGATATACAATCATATTTCTTTAGACCAAGAATGGAAATTACCCATTCTTCATGAATTACTTAAAGTTAAAGATGACAATTTTGTTCTATACAACTTTGATGATAATGAGATCGCAACCATGATCAACTTTTTATGTTCCGACTATAAACTTTATTTTACTTTATCTATACTTTATTCTTGTTTTTGTCTTATCATATTGTACCATTTTACCGTTGTGTACGAAATAAATCTATAATAATAATAATAATATATACGAATGTCTTGTGTTATTTTATAGATATAAGAAAGATATATTTCATGTTAGACTAATCAATTAAATATTCAGAAAAACGTTATCAAACTTTTGGTTTACAGAATTGCATTTTTTTAACTGTTGCCGATGAAAACGAGACTAATGAAAACTCAATATGGATTTATGAGATATGGCTATGGATAAATATGGATGTGGATATGGATATGGATATATATATATATGTGGATATATATATGGATATATATGGATGTGGATAAGGATATGGATATATATGAATGTAGATGTATATGGATGTGGATGTGGATATGGATAAATATATATGTGTATATATATGGATGTGGATATGGATATGGATATTCCATAATGTTACATAATAAATAATCACAATTTACATTTTTTTTTTGATAAATTCATCTGTAAAAGAGACTGGCACATATATTAACCCGACAAAGTGCATAGTTTATTTTTTTTCATGCTCAATAGATCTGGAAAAGGTAAAATATTCGTCAATTCAGCTGATCACCATATTCAAATTTGTAATCAACGACTGAAAAAAAACTATATCAATATATAAATGTCGAATTCTAATTGGCTGGGCTTTGGCAATGCATGCCGGCTGAATATGAAGTACGAGTTTCCATCGAAATTTTCGTTGAGCGAAATTAGCGAAAATGAACGAATGAAATTCGTTCATTTCGTTAAAATTTTCGCGAATTTCGATTTATTTTCGTTCGATAAAAATCGAAATTTTTCCTTTTCGCATCAAGAACATTGTATTTTTGAGAAACAATAAAATTTTGAACAAAGGGTCGAAAAATTTAACAAAAATGTTCGCGAAAATGAACGAAAATATTCGTTTTCGTTCACATTTTCGTTGGCTGAACGAAATTTTCGCAAAAGAGATTGAACGAAAATTTGGAAACCCTAAGTACGATACAGTGGTAATATTGTGTGTCTCCTACCTTGGTAACTATGTGACCCATCAGCAATCTAACAAGTGTATAAAGAATAATATTTTAAACTTAAAAGAATAATTGTTGACATGAAATCTTAATTTAGTCCAATTATTTTATCATTTCTAAAAATTTCATTAAGAGATAAGAATTTAGGTTAATTTGTTAATTACTGTCTTTAACTGTAAATATGTACAGATGTATGTGAACAAATTCATTTTTTTATGTGTATTTTAATTTTATATATTTATATATATAAATATATGTACTTAGAAGGAAAATAAAGAGTAAAAAATCACAAAATTTACCCAGTCCTGGTGTTTCCAAACTGTGGTCAGCCTTTTTTGTGCATTTAATATGACCGGAGATATGAAGAATTTTCTTCAGATTTCGATAATATTGGTTTTATCAAATAAAATTTGAAATCTGAACAGATATTTTCAATATCTCCGATGATATTGACAGCACAAAAAAGCCAGACCACATTTTGAATATCCCAGGACTATGATAATTTTGTTGTTATTCTTTCATGAGTCTTACATGTGAAAGAACGTTGACAACTGAATGTTCCAAATAATTTCAAAGATCACAAATGACTTTCAAATCGTCTTACTACCGTCATGTATTGTGGGACACCCTGTAGTTATTTTAAAATTTTAGAAATAAATCTTTTCAAAATTTATTTTTCAATCAGAGTCTTCTAGTCCACCTTTATTCTATGAAATAGTGGCTGAACCTCTTCAAGGAGTTTGCAGGTACCTTAATTAAAGAGACTGTAGACGATATTTCAAGTGAACCTCCATTTATAGAATGCCGTTTCCGATTCACAACGGTAAACTGAAATACTTTGTCTAATCAAGAATGAATGAGATATCTATGATGTTTGTTTAAAACAATGAGTATTTTTAATTGTGGTTTCTCTATAAAATTGTCTTTTTCTTTGTAGAGAAAATGGTGTGAAATAATCACTTTTATCGCTAGAAAAGCGGTAACATTTTTAACCCTACAAAACAATTCTTTAATCAGCTGATCATGGAATTATATATTAGGCTGTTTTTGTAAATCAATGCTTATGTGTCATATTGTAATTCTGATTCATTTAAACTTTTATCTAACAGAAGACATAGTTTACAACATTATCAAAGGTTTATAACAACTATCTATGGGACCAAACTTATTGAATTGGAGAATGAGAGATCACTGAACTACACACCACCAGTTCAAATCCCGAATCACTGATTCACTCTACAATTAATTCCCTAATTCATCATGACTCTTAAATTTTTTAATCGATAATTCCAATTTAAAGCGACAGGAGGTATAGTTTGCAGAGACCTAGCTCAAATTCATTAAAGCCGGGTCCATGTTGCATAGATTTAAAGAGACTGTAAAGGAAAAATAAAGGGTGGTATAGACTGAAACCTAAGCATTTTAGGAGTTGATCGAGACCCTTCAGAGTTCTATCTAATGTACCTGTCTCGAGAAATTGATATAAAACTTTGTCAAATTTAGAAGAAAATCTATATATACATTTAACATTTGTATAAAAATACTACTCTAGAGATATCAACGATAGTGTAATATACTTTAAAATGTACGTTTTTGTTATATTATGCTACAATAATATGAAACGTTAGGATATATTCTATATAATGTGAACGTTGTTGGAGCAATTATACCTATAACGTTAACGTTAAAAGTTAACCTTAGAGGAACATATACCCCCGACGAAAGCGTTTTGTGGTAATGTAACGTTATTTTTCTAGTATCTACAACTTTTTTGAACATAACGTGAAGAAATTTTTTGTTTCCATGGAGAGCTTGAAAGTCTAACGTTTGAATTAATTGTGATTTGATTGAATATCATAACGAAAGGATTTCTATTTCAAAATTCAACTAATAAAAAGTATAACGTTGTAAAACTGAAAAATGCATTACTGTTTATGAAAACGTTTTCCCCTATAGTATAATGAAAAGTTCAACTAATAAAAAGTGTAACGTTGTATAACTGAAAAATGCATTACTGTTTATGAAAACGTTTTGAAACGTTTTCCTCTAAAGTATAATGAAAAGTTCAACGTTTCAGAAATAGGTTATTATTTTTATAATTAGGAAACGAAAGTTTTTTAGTATAAATTTTAATAATGTAACGTAAAACATTTAACAAAAGTGTAAATCTGTAAATCAAAAAGTGTCATAACTTTTCTCTGAATACTAAATTGATTAGTCTAACGTTAGATATATGTCTGAAGACACACCCTTGAGTTGAAAGTCTAATGCTAAAAACTTTCATTCACAAATTTTAAAAACCGTTAAAAAATAATGTTATAACATCTTTATATTGCATATTCTTCTACACATTCTTTTAAAAGGTTAACAATAAAACAGCAACATACAGGGTGATTAAAAAGGGATTAACAAATTATTTTTTTTGCATGGTTCATGTTTTAGGATGAAAAATACTAAAGTAGGAATGTAATCATCATAGAAAAAATCTTGCAATGCTGCCATTTAGAAACAATATTAGTTTTTATAAAGTGTAACGTAAGAAACGTTAAGGCCTAAACAATTTAATACATCGCAACGTATAGAACATTTTTCAAATCTTTCTTAGGAACGAAATAACAGTTTTGATTGTCAGTTGTAAAAAAAGTTTTCACAATAACGTTTAGAAAAATCGTTACGTAAAAAAAGCTGATTTCAGTCAAATTTTTGAACGTAATTAAAAGAGTTTATATTGGAAAAGTTAAGATAAAACGTAGCGTTAGCGTGGAGAACTATGCCACAATGACGTTTCATTAAAGCAAAACGTTTGCCATCTTTTAATTTTCATACCAAGTGAAAGTGTAACGTATGGCTCCTGAAAACATTTACCTTGCATGAAAGTCGGATGTTAAAAAATTATTTTTATATTACTAAAGCTTTAATGCAACCTTTGGGAAAGTTTTTAAAACGGGAAATGCCAAAAAATAACGGAGCTTCCTTTTTTACTAAAATATACGGAAGCTTAATGTTGTATAAGGTAAGTGCAGAAAATTCATTACGTAACGTTTCAAATGTTTATACTTTTTATGAACACTATCGAAACAAAAGCTAAAATCTAGAAAAATCAAAACGTTTACATCTCTGAAAAGTAGGTTTCTATAGATTATACTCAGCAAATACTGCACAACCAATCTGAAAACATATGATATCCAAGAGGAGCCTAAGAAACGTAGGTTTGCTCCAATTATGACCATATATTTAGGATATTATGGATACTATAAATTGTAGAATATATGCTTATGACAATATATATAGGATATTATGGATACTATGAATTGTAGAATATATGCTAATGACAATATATTCAGGATATTATGGATTCTATGAATTATAGAATATATGCTTATGACAATATATTTAGGATATTATGGATTCTATGAATTGTAGAATATATGCTTATGACAATATATTTAGGATATTATGGATTCTATGAATTGTAGAATATATGCTTATGACAATATATTTAGGATATTATGGATACTATGAATTGTAGAATATATACTTGTGACAATATGTTTAGGATATTATTGATAATATGAGAGATGTCAAGGTATTAGATTGATCTAATGTTGATTTACTATGTTGATATATTTAAGATTAATTGATCTATCAACGATTCACAATGATAATCAGTGAAAATGCATCTTTTTTTACTATTTCTACCGGATTTAAAGAGATGATAATGTTATTAAACCTTGAAAATTTATGAAAAAATCACACAACCTCGTTCGGTTTTTGTACGGCGTGTTCCCGATATTCAAAAAAATATTTTAGACTCAGTGGACAAAAATAAACCAGGATCTATGTGGTGGCATCTATATATGATAAAAGTTTTATTTTGAGACACCCTATAGTATTCATCAAAGATCATGTTTAGTACAAAAATAAGAAAGAAAAAGAGAAAAAAATTAAATTATACAAAGATCAAATATCTTCATGGAAAGGATAAATTTGTATTTTATTAAAACCTACAATGCATAGTTTAAAGATATCTCAATGTTTGTTTTAAAGACTATTCAGACTGCCCGGTATAAATGTTGAGGAAAGTTTTGGCGGAATTTTACGGAGAATAACTTTGTCATTTGTCATTTTTGAATTATGCTTTTGAAATTTCTCGGGACTAAGCCCCACGTCCCTGTTTACAAAAAAACTTTGCAAATGTCTATAAATAGCTCCAAAGCATTGAAGTCATCTTGTGAATTCAACTCATTATCCAATACACATTTTGTTATACTACATATAAGATTTTTTGTTTTTGAACGTTTTGTTATAATTTGTTGGGGTTGTCTAACTAAATTAGTTGAGCCTTTGCTACAAACTCAAATTCTAACTCTAATTCAATATCTTTGCAACCTTATATTTCAAACTTATAACAGAATTTATTGTTAGAAATATCAAAGTTCTAAAACATTCGGTTGCAAAGACACGGGAATAAAAAATTCTTTTTTTTGTGGTAATCAAGAACTTTTTTCTTGTGATTAAAAATTATTGCTTTTAACTAGTGTTATTAATTGTTAAGTATTCAAACCATAATATAAAGATTTATTAATATGTTTTTTTTCTTTAAAAAGTTCTGAATTAGAGAAACTGAGAAACTTTTTCTGATCTATACTTTTGAAGGACATTTGAATTGGAAAGATTGTAAAAACTATTTAACTATTTATTATGTAATATAACTACCAATCAAAATTCTTTTTTTTTAAATATTATCTAAAAATGAAAATGTTTTTAAGATATACGAGGTGAGATTAATAAGTTTCGCTAAAAACATATTAGGGATACTATTTTTTTTTGAAAGTTCACTTTATCTTTACCGGATTTTTATTCAGATCAGTTGATGAAAATCAGATCTTTGTTGTAATGATAGCTTTCCCCCAAAAGTGTATCAACTTCGTTTGTCACAACAAAATTTTTTCAGATTGGTCTCAAACTTGATCCAGGGGGGGGGCTATGGGGGCTAAGCCCCCTCCCTTGACCAGTGAAATCTATGGATTTCAGCGGGGTTTCAGGCCCCAACAGGTGCTGAGCCCCCATAGCCCCCTGGAAAGAAAAAAATTTAAGCCCCCCCTGGACAAATTCCTGATTACGCCCCTGGTAGTGCTGGTCCTATTCAGTGCCATAGAATTATTACTATTCCTGATCCTACCAGAGCTTCAAGCCATAGCACCAATACTACTCAGCATAGTTATGTTGTACCATGTACCATCTGATCAAAACTATACTCCGTCGAAAATTTCTTATTTTTGGGACAAATTTAATCCAGATCTTTGTCTTTCTGATGAAAAAAAATCATTTAATTTAGTTAAGGTGTTTCCTCTTATTTTGAAGGCCCAAATCTTTTGTGGGAACTCATATGACCCGAAGTAAGGTTTCAGGATATGAAATTTTGAAAATCCTTAAAAAATAATTATCAAATCAGGGGGGGGGGTGCAGAAGTCCTCAATTGGTAATCAAGATGCACAATCAACATCAAAAAAAAATAATTATGCATTGTTAAAGCTCGTTTTATTAATTTTTACTGAGTATTTTTTTTCAGAGACTGCTGCAGCTTCACCATGCTTTATTCTGGAGACCATTTGCATTTTTAAAATGTTATCTTCAGTTACTACTTTTCAAAAGTAAGAAAATTTTAGTGAAACTTATTGATCACCTTAAATAGAATTATTTAGGAAATAGTATCAAAGAGTAAAAATACCCCTCCCCCCTCTCTTCAATTCCATGGCATATATCTGCTTTATTCCTCTTTATTTCCTTTTAAGACGATTTTTATCATTTAGTAATTTTATCCCTGGGTCAAAATCATAATTAAAAATTAACAGTGTTACAGTAAATGTAAAAGCTCTGGTTTGATGAGTTTGATAGAAAGCAAGAGATGCCATATTTATTACGTCTTAACATTTGCACTTCATGAAACTTTACGATATTTTTATACTTTAAGGCTTGTCGTATAGTCCATGGTATATTCAATTAACCTAAAAATAATTCTGATTGCAATTTCAGTAAGGTTATTTTTTTATCGCACGAGTCTTAATAAACATTTTTCTTGCCCCATCCCCCCCCCCAAAATCTTTAGGCCGGGGGGGGGGGGGTAGCGCACCTCTACAGTGAGTCCAGTGGGCTTCAGTCCCATAGTCCCCCTCTCCATACGTTTCTGAAAATCGTGTATGCACGAAAAATATCAAATTTTTTCTCCGATTATGTGCTTGGGCCGTCCCCCCTTATTTTCCAGATAAAGAAGGGTGTAACACAATGCACCCCACGCCCCCGGTTCATTTACATGCTTTTTAGCTCGTAGTAATTTGAAAAAGAAATACAAAAGTAACAAAGTTTAACCATATTTCGAATGAACAGTTCTCAATTTAATTTAATTCGTAATTCTGTTTGTGTTCTGTCCTCCAAAACAGAAAGCCGGGAATTTTGGAAAATGCCGCAAACTATTTCTATATTTGCGGCGACTCTAGTCCAGCCAGAGCCTACCCAGTACCCAACCTGTCGTGCCGTTAGTTAAGGATTAAAGAAAAGATTTTAAACTCGAATTTGCAGTGTAAGAACGTGATTTGGCTGGTCAGAATAATAGAAATTGAAATAAATAAATCCGTAACATGTTTAAAAGTTGATAACTTGAATTATCTTCATATTTCAGGGAGAAGAGCTCATGCACAAAAGTGTTTTGCATGTCCTATTTGATAAGGTTGTTCACATAGCACATGAAGAGAACGATTTTTGGACCCCCTCCTATAATTTTGTACATGACCACTATTTTCAGCAAAAATAGTATTTTTTCATTAATTCATGTTAAGGTTAGGTTCAGACAAGTCTTGGGCAGAGCGCAGCGGCTAGGACAGTCCAGGGTGCCGGGGCAGCTACCACATGACTAATTATATCCATTGTTAAATATGAGATCCAAGCTTAAAGTTGATAGACGGGGGGGAGTGTCCAAAAATTGTTCTCTAGGAAATCACCGCACATGATGAACGATACACCAGAAGATAAAATAGACACTACCGTTCCCATGCAAATAAGCACTTCAAGTTAATTGATGTTGAGACAAATAGAGTTTAATTGGGAAATAGCACAATTAATAAAGTTTTTTAGTGATAATTCCTCAGAAATTGATTTAATTTAATTCTCTAATAGAACCATAACAATGGTCCGATGTCATTACGAGGTGTTGGGAGTAGAGAGAACTGCGGACCAGGATATGCTTAAGAAAGCATACAGAAAACTTGCATTAAAGGTCTACTTTTATATTATTATTATTATTATTGGTGTAATTAGGAGCGTATATCCAATAAAAATAAATCCGATATAGGTAAAAGTTCAGCTTAATATTGAATTGAGCTTTTTTCTCAATTGCGTTTTAAACTGAGATATGGTTGGTGGAAAATAAAGGGTTTACCAAAAGGTTTATTTTCATGTGAAAACTTTAAAGGATTTAACGAGTAGATTGTACTCACTTTAGTGTGACTTTTGACAACAGCTAGGACCTATATTTATCATTTAAAAGAACCTATTGTATACTAGAGTCGGAATTTACTTGGACAGGTATGTGGAATCACTACTCAATGCTGTCTAATTACAACAAAACCAGTTTTTGAGCTTTCCTATCATGGCATAAACACATAAACAGACATAATACATAAACCCTATTCTATTTATCCTGTTACACCCATTTAATAAATCCCACAAACGGGAATGACAAATATCATGGTTCTCTTAAAATATCTTTAATCTTTGTTGGAAATTCTTATAAATAAATTTAGTGAAATATATATGAATATATGCATATAGTACCATCCGGATTTCTTACTTAATATTGTATTTTAGTACCATCCGGATAAGAATCCGGATGACCCAGACGGTGCGAAGCAAACTTTTCAGTTGATACAGCAAGCGTATGAAACCCTTTCTGATTTACAGGTAAGATTTAGTATTTTAGTTTTTAAAGAGTATTTTATCAGCTTATTGTAATTAAATTAAGTTGTCCAAATGAACAGAAAGGTGGAGGGTGGGGGGCATTTATTTTTGACTTGGAAAGTTTCTTCAGTTCATAAAAAAATTACAATTAGATCAACTGTATTTTTTTTCGGGTAAATATTATGGAGTCATTCCTGATTTTCATTCGAAAAATTTGTTACTTTCTCTTTGAAGTCTTAACTGAGGATTATGCAGCAGAATAGAGAAGAAAATTTACAGTATATTTTGGTCTCAAAATAGAATGACGAAAATATCATCCTTAGTTTTACTAAACATTAAAGATTAAAGTGTAGTGTTGCAATTTGGACTCTTGAAGAGTCGATCAATAATACGTCGACAGTCCCTTTAATGATCATTGATCGCCCATGTTAGGAACGAGCTTGGTATGACAATCACAGAGAGGAGATCCTACGAGGAGGGCTGGGGGAGAAGATGGAAGNGGGGGGGGGATATTAATTTACACCATAAACATCTTATTCAAGTCAAATACGGCTAGATTGTTAAGTGTCTTAAGTGGCATTAACCCGTTGAGGTTTTAAAAACCTACGGAAAACTGAAAATTTTCGTAAAATCTCTTAAAATGGGTATTTTATACGCGATTCAGAGACGATATCAATACATGGGCGGGCTTGCGATGCCCCCAAATCTTCGTTTAATGGTTGTTAGAATCTTTTTATTTTTCTATATTATCCTGAATTCGTTGTAATTTCTTGTTAAAGGATCCATTCTAGAATTAATATATGAACGGGAAAAGTAATAATACATTGAAATCATTATGCAAGCTACAATTCATGGATTGCTACAATTGATACAATGTTTGTAAATGAAGATACTCTTTAAAAGAGTGAGGACGAACTCCTGATGATGCCAAAGTTTTTGGCGAAATATATTGAGTAGAAAATTATATAATTCTAGTGCTAGAGAGTAGGGTTGGGAATTGTTTAAAAACTATCTGAAGATTTATTTATTTAAATATATGATAATTATTCATCCTCATCATGACATACTTTAAGATGAAGATTGTGACAAAAAGGGGAAAATGTAGTATATGAAAGGACAAGTTTTCATAATCCTTTTTCATACTTTAAAACTTATTTCATTTTCCCGAAATATTTATTCAAGAAAACATACACCCCTGTAGCTGCCAGGTAGTTTAATAATTTATACTAACATTACCTCTTTTTATAGGATATGGAGATGACGAGAAAGGATTTTACGGTGTTTTCAGGTTCGAACATTATATACAATATTGTTGCCCTTATTCAAAACATTTCAAACACAAAACGTAGAACAATATTCGAGATTTGAGCCGGCGCTAAATTGGCGGTTCCGCGACGTGGTTTAAATTCTTTAAACTATACCTCTGCTTTTGTTATTTTCCTTCTATTTTTAGGTTTATATAATTAAAGGATTGGAACAGGGAAAACATTTATCAAAAATTAAATAAATTGAAAATTTGTCAGAAATAAAATTTTCAGTCTTAGAATTAAAAACTAATTTATAGTTTTATGTTTAGAGAAGTTTTCAATACAATCGCTAAAGAGGATTCTGAGTTCATGGATGAACAGGATAGCGATTTCGAGGTATGTAATTGGGTTATGTTACATCGTCTGTACGTAACATCCCCCTACTAAACTTTTGACCTACTAACTTTCTGACCTACGCCAGCTGTTTATTTTTGTATTATTTGAGGGTTAGGTTAGGTTAACACAATTTCTGGGTCGAGCGCTGCGGCTAGGACAGCTACTAGGGGGCCGGGCGCTGCTGCCACAAGTCCNCAAGGGGAGAACTGGTGGGCTAAACGGAAAATATAAACCCTTGATATGTAGACAAGGGGAGAACCGATGGGTTAAACGGAAAATATAAACTCGAGATATTTAGACAAGGGGAGAACTGGTGGGCTAAACGGAAAATATAAACCTTTGATATTTAGACAAGGGGAGAACTGGTGGGCTAAACGGAAAATATAAACCTTTGATATTTAGACAAGGGGAGAACCGGTGGGTTAAACGGAAAATATAAACTCGAGATATTTAAACAAGGGGAGAACGATGGGTTAAACGGAAAATATAAACCCTTGATATTTAGACAAGGGGAGAACCGGTGGGTTAAACGGAAAATGGAACAGGAGAATAAGAAGATTAGGGACAAGGCCAGGAAGGAGAGGAATGAGGTTATCAGAAACCTTGTTTCATTTGTCAGGTAAATTCTAATTTAATTGTTCAAAGCAGTGCTTAGGATCCATTTAAGTTTGATGCGGATCCGGATCCAGGTCATGAACATTACTTTAAGATATACTCATTTTTGTTAACAAAAGAAAATTTTCTTCTTTTCATGAATTTTATGCTAAAACCTTATTGAATCATTCAGAGTGACGGAAATTTTTGATAATTTTCCTTGTTATCAACAGTTCAGATTTGGGTTTTGTCTCCAGTTTCTGGTTGGTATTTTGCCCCTTGGATTCGGATCCGTGAATCCGCATATTTATCCGGATCCAGGAAGCCAAAAGGATAATGTTGCGGATCCAACGGATCCGGATCCTTAGCAATGGTAATAGATATTTTGCTTTGATTAATCAAGCAATTCTAAGAGTCCAGAACATATGTTTTATAAACGGGCTTAAGTTAAAAAAAAACATTGAAGTTGTGATAGTCTAAAAAATCTGTATAATTTGACAAAAGGTAAATTCTTGTTCTCTCACTACCAGCTCCTGAACTTGATGCTTTATGATTTTTAAAAATGTTAATTTCTTGTAAAATAAAAGTTTCCGGAGTTCTTTGATTTTTCCTTGTAGAAATTAATTTTTTTACATTTTTATTTTTTAATTTTAACAATATTCTTTAAATAATTAGATCCTAAGAAGATATAAATATTTTGACATTTTCTTTATTTCTTGATCTCCATTTTCTTCTTGTTCTTGCATCTTCTATCATGTTCGTGCATCATTCCCCTGTAGAAATTATAAATTTTCTTTTTAAACCAGAAAACGTGATAAAAGAGTTGATGCTTACAAGAAGAGATTAGAAGAGAGGGCAGAGGAAAACAAGAAGAAAACACTGGATTTCCAGAAGAAGCAACGAGAAGAAAGGAAGAAACTTTTAGAGGTTGACAATTTTTAAAATTATAGTTTTTTCTCCCTATCTTAAATATTGTTTCGTTTTCATATAATCTTACCTTTTTCACATGGGTTTCTTGAAAACTTTACACTTGACACTTTTTTGAAAATTCGATTAGAAATGAAAAATATATTTCAAATGTTCAAGTATTTTATATTTATATCTTAAACAATACTGAAAAAATCGAAACATTTACAGTATTCCAAATATTTTGAAAGCCTAAAATTCGGGAAAAACTCTTGTTTTTTAGGCCAATGACATCAATTCTAAAAAAGGTCGAAATCGATCGGGGTTCTTTTAGCATAGAAAGTTAATTTGTTTGTATTAAGGAGAGTATGAATGACTCGGCTAGTCTAAATATGAAAACTATGGAGGATGCCTTGAAACAGTTAGAAGGTTAGCAGTAGCGAGGGGAGGAAGGCCATCCATAACAATTTCTAGTTCGAGCCACATTCGCCTCATTTTATCTTCCGAGCCACCTCGAAATTCTCGTCCTTCCAATATTATTTTTTTGAACGTGTCTAATCCTCTAAGATATACTTAAGTCTATGTATATTTTATGGCCTAACGTGGCCAGATAAAAAATAGATTATCTTCAAGAATTAGAAACTTCAAAAACATAATAATCGAAGGACGAGGATTTCAAGGTGGCTCAGACGAGAAGATGAGGAGAATGTGGCTTGGACGAGAAAATGTTGTGGCTTGTCTTCCTCCCCTCCAGTAGCACTTAAAAATATTCCACTTGCAAGGAAGACTAAAGGGACTGTAAGCGTAATTTGAAGTGACCCTCCGGCCTCTATGCTAAGGTACTTAATGCTTGATTCACAACGGAACCCTTGAAAGCTTTGTCTGATCAAGTATGAATTGTATATAGATATATATATAATTTTGAAAACTGAAAATTTTCAATTATTTCTCTACAAAATTGACTTGCCCATTTCTACTGCCGAAGAACATCAAGATATTATCCTATTATATTAACCCTTTTAAAACTAGAAAAACGACCATGTTCTTAACATTATTGATCAGATTTAATTCAATTCATACATTTCTGAAGATAGAGTAGCAGTATAACTATAACAATAACATATATGAACATTTTTATGGAATTATTTTTCCTTCACCAGGAGAGCTCAATAGCTCAGAACTGTAAAAGGTTTCCAGGGTACCATTGTGAATCAGGATCAAAGGTCACTTGAAATTACGCTTACCGCAACTTTAAGATAAAAGGTTATTTAGAATAATCATTTAATTTTACTCGTTCAAATTAAGGGGGCCGGGGAAAATCATACGAACATAATGGGGGTATTTATGATAAAGGGGGGGTGGTTGATAATGCGGGAATTATTTTCTAATACAATATTTAGCCCGGCCTTGAACAGATAAATATGTTCAGGAGAGTATGCTGGAAGCTCCGAAGAAGATGAAGATGATAGTGAAGTAGAACTAGGTTGGTGCCTATTTTTAGATATTTATTTTTTAATTTTAAATTTTAACAATATTCTATTCTATAAATAATTAGATGATAGTAAATTTTGACATTTCTATATTTATTGTTTTCCATTTTGATTTTCTTCTTCGGCTAATTTTGAAGAAACAAAAACTTGGAACATCCTTCTAGCTTCAGAACTAGTAGAGAGAGAAATAAATTATGTTTTAAAGGATCTGTAGTTGTAATTTTGAGCAACCTCCCATTTTTTGCATGTTTGATTTACAAATCATTTATTAATTATGAAGTGCCTGCCACCACTAGAGGCAAGAGAGCTTCATCCCTGAGATCGATCCTGCATTATATATTAGAGTGACATACGAGTGGGAAATTTGTTGAGTGCAAAGATTCCATGGGTGATGTGGCCCAACTTGAGCATTTTGTAAATATGTTGGGTGGATCGTAGCATTGCATCAGGTAGAAGTCGTTTTTGGTTTTTCTGCAAAATCTTGATTTCTGGTGAAGGTCAATGACCTCCGATCCCAAATTTTCTTTGTGATCCGGAAAGAGGGCCACAATGGGTTGTGATCCGGAAAGAGGGCCACAATGGGTAGCTGCATGCAAAATTTCAGCCTTTTATTCAATTTTTAGAACCTGTACAAAAGGACACAAAATGTAGAATTTAGTGAGTTTTTCCTGAAACTACTTCCACCTAAGTTCATCGAGTTAGAGCAAAAAAGTTTTTTTTGCATTTTAATACAAAGGGTTGACATCAGCCATAGAACCTACGCACCTTTTGATATTATTACTTTCACTTCTTCTTGTGTCATCCTATTATTTAAAATTCGGTGATGGTGATGGTCCAAACCTCTGTAGAGTAAAAAAGTAGATGTTAGTTCCACATTTATTGAAAATATATTTCGGTCTGGGTTAAACCTCGTCAGTTCTTGAGATTGTTTCTGTCACGAAGATTAAAAATAAACCTCCTATTATATATACCAAGATATGCATCTGGGATTCGTTAAAAGGGGTATTTAATAATAGAAAGCTTAACATGTCAGTGTTAACAGTGGCTCATCTCGGCATGATTTCGAATTATGGGACTTTAAGTGTAATTTGAAATAACCCTTAATTCAGAGATGGCAATGCCAGATTCACAACGGTATCCCTGAAACCTTTATCTGATCAATAATGTGGAAGATATTAACAGGTTCTTGTGTTCAATTCTGATGATTCCTAGTTTTTTCCTGCTGAAGAAAAGCGCAAGGCACTATTTGTAGAGAAAGCAAAATAGAAAATAATCTTTTTTAAAAAGTATAAACATTGATCTATAATTAATACTTGATCAGACAAAATTTTTTAAGGATACCGTTGCGGATCCGACATTAATATCATTGCATTGAGCGTCACTTGAAAATACGCTTACAATCCCTTTAAAAATGGTTTTTTTTATTTAGAAGAAGAGGAATTAGAGAATCTTGTTGATGAATTGTATTGTGTGGCTTGTGATAAACTATTTAAAACCATCCCGGCCAAGGTATCTATATATTTAAAGTTGTTATCTCTGTTTGTCTGTCTGTATGTTTGTTTGTCCGATCATAACTCTGAAACCACTTGACCGATTTGCCTCAAATTTTTCGTGAGGGGGTTGTGATGAAAAATTTAAAACTTCAGACAGAGCTGGTAACTTATAAAATTTTTTTGTGGACACTCAGGGGTGGCCGGGGTCTAAATTCAAATTTTTGTTAACATTTAAAAAATTTTTTTTCAAATTTCACGGGCAACGCCGGGTCCTTCAGCTAGTGTTAAATGAAATGTTTACGCGTAAATTCAAATGACATGCAAAGATGACAATGCCTTATTTACAACTGTACCCTCTGATAAATAATGTGGAAGAAATTGTGTTTTTTCTAGGTTTAAAAGTTTTTGATTCTAATAATTTCTATACGGTTTACTGTTAAAGAACTGCGTAAGCCTCTTTTGTTGAGAACTCATAATTAAAAAATCATTTTTAAAACTACAAACTTTGATATCTTATTTATACTTAGTCAACCAAAACGTTGTGAATCGGGCATTGCCATCTTTGCATGAAAGGTCCCTTGTAATTACGCAAACAGACTCGTAAAGTGCGTTATTTTAAGGGGGAGGGTAATTGAAAAATGGAAGAAATAATTTATTTTTTTGTTCAGGAGAATCACGAAACCTCGAAAAAGCACAAAGAAAACTTGGAAATCTTGATACGAGATATGCAAGCAGAAGAATATGATGAAGATGATGATACTGAACCTGATCATGAGGAACTGGATGGCGGTGAACTTGATCATGACGAACCTGATGATGCTAAATCTGATCAAGATGAATCTGATGATGTTGAAGTTGATGATAAAGATATTAATCCTTCAAATCATGAAAATGAACAAGATCCTTCAAAGCTAAACGAATCCATAGAAAAAAACCCTGTAGTCAAATCCTTAAGTGACGACGAATTTTTGACGAACGGCCAGGGCAAGAAAAAAGGAAAAACGAAGAAGAAAAATAAACCTAAAATCATCTTTGTTGTTGATTCAGATGAAAAATTAGATTTGTTAACTCAAGTCTCAGACGATTCAGATTTTGAATTTAATAAGAAAAGGACAAAAAGTAAAAAGAATAGAAAGACAGCTCCATCTCTACCCAAGGAGAAGGTGGAAGATAAAGAAAATGAAAACAAGAATATCTGTCCTGCCAACCCCGACCCAATTCTTCCGACAAATCAACACGATCCCGACGAGAACGTGTCTGATCCGGAGTTAAAATGCGGAAAATGTGGCTCCGTGTTTCCCTCCAAAAACAAACTGTTTAATCACTTGAAATCCACGGGACACGCGTTGTATCTGGGAAAGGAGAAAGCCAAGGTTAAACCCGCGGATCAGAAACTTACAAAAAAGCAGAAACGAAAGTTATGAAAAATATAAATATTTTCAGAAATAATATGAATTTTATGACAAAAGAGGGCCTAGCGGAAAAACTCAACAATTTAGGGTTAGTTTGAACATTTTTTCTCGTTAAAAAAAATTAAAATAAACATGATAATGATCTTATTGTTTTGAGCAGGGGTTTATATTTTCTTGAAACATCATTTCTTCAGTTCTACAAATTTTCCTCCAAAATAATTTATGAGTTATAATTATTGAAATGTGCTAAAACCTTGCCCTTTGATTTTATTTTGTTCATATTTATATTCCCTGTTATTCTAGAGGGTATTTTTTCAGATCTTGTTTTCCAAATTAGGTTCAAAATAAAGAATTTTTTTTAAATTTAGGACGCTTATTTCCGACCAAGCAACAGTATTTAATCTTTATCCTGTATTCAAAGCTGCGACCTCCAGTAGTCCTCAACCCACCCCAGGTACAACCATTTATTTGGTGAAATTTACAGTAGAACCCATGAAACTGTGGAACAAAAAGATGATATTTTTATGTGTTTTTGGTGATGTTTAAGCAGATAATAGCTCGAAAAAATAAAGTGAAATTGATCTGTGTACATTGTACACTGCCATAAATTGACTCCTAAAGTCGTCTTCCTATTCCACAGTTTCATTGGCCTCACCGTATTATGTTGAATCATCACTCAATTTGCATTTATAAATAAAATATTTTACGAGTTTTATCGCTTATTGGGAAAATGATAAAAATTTGTTTAGGTACAAATTATGAATATTGAGAGAAAACTTTCCAGTAAGATGTCCAATTGATTTTTTTCTGAACAAGTTTATCTTCAAAATTGGTTTAAAGGGTATCAATGTGAATCGGGAATGAAGTCGAGGGTAGTATGAAAATACGTCGACATTCTCTTTAAACATTGTTTGCTTTTTCCAGGTTATGTTTATGATATATTGGTGGAGTTTACGTTCAAGAGTAAGAAGAATTCAATACTCATAGGTAACTTTTTGTAATTTTTGTACTTTTTATACATGTTGTGCCTTTTTTACTTTTGTACTTGTTGTATTTTTTGTACTTTTTGTACTTATTTTTTACTTATCTTACTTTTTATACTTATTTTGTTTTATTTGTACTTATTTTGTCCTCATTTTGTACTTGTTGTACTTTTTGTACTTATTGTACTTTTTGACTTATTTTGTAATTATCTTAATTTTTAATATTTTTTTGTACTTATTCTTGTACTTTTTGTACTTTTTATACATATCGTAGATTTTGGTACTTTTTGTACTTTTTGTACTATTTGTACTATTTGTTACTATTTGTACTATTTGTACTATTTGTACTATTTGTACTATTTGTACTATTTGTACTTTTTATACTTTTTATACTTTTTATACTTTTTGTACTTTTTGTACTTGTACTTTTTGTACTTTTTGTACTTTTTGTACTTTTTGTACTTTTTGTACTTTTTGTACTTTTTGTACTTTTTGTACTTTTTGTCAAAGGGTTTTGTAATCATTGAAACTTTGCCTTTTGGGAAAAAGTTGATTTTGAGGGAAAAGGACAATTTTTTGTTATTTCTTGTTTTTCGTAAAGTTCTAACTTTCAGTACTTAACTAATACTGTTTTCAAACTGCTATTTCTTCCCTCAAAGAATTCTTCTCAACAGGAATTCCCTCCTGAAATTTTCCCAGCAGCAGATTTTCCAATTTTTCTAATGTTTTTGTTATCATTGAATCTTTGATATTGAGGGATAAACAGTGTTTATTAAACACTAACATATTTTTATTTTTAAGGAAAAAGTTTTCAGAAATAGATGATAAAATTTGATAAAATTACATTTAGCTTGTTTATGTTTATGTTAGGATTATTTTCAGGACTCCTGGCGGAGTATATAAGAAAATTTCCGATTGTTGTCATGATATTCATATGGTTGCTTAAAATACTGAAGGGAGAAATCGGTCACATCAATTATGAAATTGTGAAGGGTTTATTATAATAATGGTTTTTGATAGACTTGGCTTTGATATACTTTACTTTGATAGACTTGACTTTGATAGACTTGACTTTGATAGACTTGACTTTGATAGACTGCTTTTTTTTCTTGGCTTTGATAGACTTGTCGTTGATAGACTTGGCGTTGATAGACTTTGCTTTGATAGACTTGGCTTTGATAGCCTTGGCCTTGATAGCCTTGTCTTTGATAGCCATGGCCATGATAGACTTTGCTTTGATAGATTTTGCTGTGATAGACTTTGCTGTGATATACTTTGCTTTGATAGACTTTGCTTTGATAGACTTCACTTTGATAGACTTCACTTTGATAGACTTGGTTTGGATGGATAGACTTGACTTTGATATACTTGACTTTATTAGACTTGACTTTGATAGACTTGGCCGTTTTAGACTTTTTTAGAATTAAGTTCTATCAATATTTGTAGAGGAAATAAAGAAGGTTGTTGCAGAAATATTGACCTCCTTGTTTAATCAAGATTGTATAAACAGGTAGGTTTTGTCACATAAATTATATAATTTTTTTGCGAATTCCTTCTTTAAGGAAATATATCAACAAATAGAAGTGGCAAATTGTGTGGCTTGCTGTTCGAAACTATTTTTTTAACTCAAAATTTAAACTTACTGCACCCCCCCCCAAAAAAAAAAAAAATATGTTATGAACATATTCTTGTAAAAAATATCCGTCAGTTTATCTGCTAACAAAACGTTTTCAAAGAATTGCAGAATTGGTCTAAATGTTGAGTCTAATTCCATCTGAATTCCGAAATTCGCCATTCCAACCAGAGAAAATCCATCAAATACAATATATAGTAATGTGGAAATTTATCTCAAGACTCGAGTCTTAAATTAGTCCCGAAGACAGCTTAGTCGTGTATCACCATTTTTTTTGATGATTTGATGACGATCGATGATTGTTCAGAGATCTATCTGATGAACCTGAAGTCTGTCCCGTCTCTAGCTCTCTACCGGGGATGGGAAAAGATGCTAAAATCATCCAGGTAAATTTTCAGGGGCGGATACAGGGGGGGGGGGCGGAATTTTTTGTTCCTATTTTCAGAATTGCTTCTCAATAGCATGCTTAAGGGAAAGAAACCCTAGTGCAAAACAGGAAAAATATCTGTCTTGATAAACTATAATGTGTGAAAAGTGAAAAATCTAGTTTTTTAGTCTTTAGTCATTAATTTCGACTCTTTTTGTCAAAAAAAATTTTCGCCTGTCATATAATTTCAAGGGACTGTACGCGTCATTTTAAGTGACACTCAATGCGAAGATATCAATGCCCGATTTACAACGGTACCCTTAAAACCTGAATCTGATCAAAATTTTTGATTTCATTTTTATTTCATACCCTTATTAAAAAAAAAATCCGGGCACAGTGGTATTATACAGTTTACACAATACAGCTAATTAAACAGAGTAGCACGATGATTACTTACTTATTTGTTTTTGTTGTCTAATTTTTTTCTGTTTTTGTATTCTAGGATTCCAAGTATGATGGGTTTGGTAACTCTCCCATATATAAAACTGATATTACTGATACTGCACAGTGGTATTATACAGTTTACACAATACAGCTAATTAAACAGAGTAGCACGATGATTACTTACTTCATAGAACTTTCATAATGAAAAGCATTATAAAGGTGATAAAAATTCAGCAACATATAATATTTTAGACTTAGATTGAGACTAAATAATTTGAACAATGAGCACCTGATTTAGAAATTTGTTTTTGTTATCTAATTTTTTTCTGTTTTGTAATCTAGGACTCCAAGTATGATGGGTTTGGTAACTCTCCCATATATAAAACTGATATTACTGATACTATTAGGTAAATAGTAAATAGAAAATTATTTTTTCAATTTTTAATGTTCATTGTTCAACGATGAAAATGTCAAAAATGAAAGAACATTAATTTTTGTTATTTTGTACAAAAGAACAAGAGAAAAAAAAATATTTTTTAATTTCTAAATATTTATTTGTGAAAATATGAAAAATAAAATTACAATAATTTTTATTTGTTAAGTTTTGTAATTTTTAAATTTTTAGATACTTTTTCTTTATCATGAAACCGTTAAATAAGAAAATATTTTTGAGAAACGAAAGTGAAAAATACTTTGCAAAGTATATTGTGTATTTTCAAAGCGTAAATTAGTTTTTATTCTTAACTGATTTGTTTTGAAAACAAGCGATGTTTAAAATCTTAATTCAATGTCTTCTGCTAACTTTTTAGAATCTGAACATTCTACAATGTACAATATGTACACTGTACAGTACAAATTATTAAAAAAACCACTGAAATAGAAAAAGAACTTAAAAAAAAAAATTAACCTGTTTTTTAGTTCGCGGTGCTTCTTTTTAAGAGCAAAACAATATTTGAGAGTTATTTTCCATTTTTTCATATTATTGTAGAAATGTAGTAGAGCAGGTTTTGAATACTCCGGATCCCAGGTTGGAGAGGCTAGAGGCTTGTCTCAAGAGTTCGAGGGGGAAATATCAGGTAGAGATCAATCCCCCCTCCACGCTTCATCAAATATTTTTCCCTCCCTTCTAAATAAAACATTCACTTCCATTAATTCTTCTTAAATAAAAAATTTCTCCCACCTCTCTTAATTGAAGCATTTCCACTTCCATTCCCCTAGGTACCTAGGAGAGAATAAGTTTAACTCATTATTTCAATGAAAAGTTCCAAACTTAGGACAAATATTTGATTTGATTTAAGGCTGCCAGAGTTGATCTAGAGCTGAGTGAAATACATGAAGATCAAACTAGAACTAGACAAGAACCTAGAAAACATATTCCAGGTATCATTATTATCAGCTGAGTGAAATACATGAAGATCAAACTAGAACTAGACAAGAACCTAGAAAACATATTCCAGGTATCATTATTATCATCAATATCATCCTTTTCATCCTTGTCATCCTTGTCATCTTTGTCATCTTTTTCATCCTTGTCATCCATGTCATCCTTGTCATCCATGTCATCCTTGTCATCATTATTTTTATCCTTATCCTTATATTTTTCTTTTTCTAATATTAAATAGAAATCCCCCCTAGGACGGGCTGGTGGAGGTTGGGAGGACGAGGACAGCGAGGACGAATTTGTAGAATTTGGCGGCCTCTGCCTTGAGTCTAAGGACGAGGACGATAAACTCGGCCTGATCACTGCAACGGACGAATTTGTTAAAATCCGCCAATTTTGCATGGACGAACCTCTTCCTGTTGATCTCGATATTCTTAACTCTCTGGTTCAAGAGTTAAAGATGAGTGAGAAGTTGAATATTCTTTTCTCTCTCAAACACGTTCTCGAAACCGAGTCGGACGAAAATATTCTCCGGGCTCTACTCTTGACAGAGAAGATTCTCGAGCAGGGTTTGATCACCGCCAACGTGCTGCTTACAGTGCTCAAGACCAACCTGGAGTTGCGTAAGGTTGATGAAAACCGGAAAATATCGGTGAAAAGTTCTAAAATTTTGGCAACATTAGAATATCTTCTCTCTCCTTGGCTAGTTTATTCTGGGCCTAAACTACTCTACCTCCATCTTCCTATCCTACCCCTGGATCTAAACCTTGGATACCTCCTCTCTCCCTGGCTAGTTTATTCTGGGCATAAACTCCATTTTCCTATCCTACCCCTGGATCTCATGTATTCGCCAAACTCGAATACAAGATTTTTCCTTATTTTTGCTACCAGCGCTTAGTATGCCCTGCTGGCGCCTAGTATGTCCTGCTGGCGCCTAGTATGTTCTGCTATAGTGTCTATTATGCCGTTGGCGCCTAGTCTGATTCAATCCTCAAAATTTTATCGTTTATTGAAACTGTTTCAGAAATACAATGGTGCCGTTAGACTTGCAATCTGTTCAAAGGTAAAACGAATTATAAGCATTAACCTAAGGTACTTATGAAAGGAAAGTTATTTCAGAGGCGTACGCATATTTTGTACTGCAGTGTACTGTCTTTGGGCGGAAAAGTAAACACAAGACGGATGTCACAGCCTTCGACATGGAATCCATTTTTACAAAAATAATCAATGAGATATTATGGTCATAGAAAACTATTATGTGAATTTTCAAAACTATCAACCTCGGATACTAAACGAACACTGATGTATCTATTCTTGTTTACTAAGTCCCCCCAGAGAGAGCTGGTTTTAACATGTACGCAGAGTATACGCGACCGCAACTAACTTTCCTTGCATTAGTACCTTGAATTTACCCAACAATCATGTCCTTCGTGTTATCCAAGTTATGAAGAAAGGACTTTGTCAAATAAGATATTTACCCTGGGAATCATTATTTTTATGAAAGTTGATTAAATTTTGGGTTTATGTACTCGGTTACTCGGTGACTAATAAAGGATGAGACTACAGAGACGACTGTTCGGAATTTATACGTTTCATATTCGCCATGTTGGCACATTAAACTTCGTTCTTATTTTGCCAAATATTATAAATAAATCATTTTAACGACTAATAAGACATCATCTAACCTCGGGATTGTAATATTATACGAGTTTCAGGTCGTCTTTACTGTCTCATCTTTTGTGGGTGACAGTGTACCATAAAAGGCTTTCTTGGCGCACCTGATTAATTTTAGTTGAAAAATTGAGCGTTTAAAATTTGCGATTTAAGCCGCCAATTTTGCTTCGTAAATTGTAGTTCTAATTTTTCGCGGGTTATACTGTTCAAGTTCAATTGGGGCATTTTTATAAATAATGGCGACATTTTTTTTGGGGGGGGGGGCTACAATTTTAAACGTTGACGGTAATTAAAATCTTTACCTGCAGGTTATGTAAGTTGCCACATTTACCTTTCTATAAAGTAGTAATCATATGAAATTGTTTTATGGGCCCGATCAGTTTCATCGTTTTAGCGTTAATTGGACACAAATAAACAAATTCAGACAGACAAGTCAAATTTATAAAAGATAGAAAAATAGATTTTCATAAACAATTAAATCTAGAATAGACATGACTATATTTAATAAATAAACCTACAGGTTGACAAGACACATGAGTGATCTAGAATAGACATGACAGTATTTAATACATAAACCTACAGGTTGACAAGAGACATGAGTGATCTCGAATAGACATGACAATACTTAATACACAGGTTGACAAGAGAAATGAGTGATCCAGAATACACATGACAGTATTTAATACATAAACCTACAGGTTTACAAGAGACATGAGTGATCTAGAATAGACATGACAATATTTAATACATAAACCTACAGGTTTACAAGATACATGAGTGATCTAGAATAGTCATGACAATATTTAATACATAAACCTTTAGATAGACAACAGACATGAGTGATCTAGAATAGACATGACAATATTTAATACATAAACCTTTAGATAGACAAGAGACATGAGTGATCTAGAATAGTCATGACAATATTTAATACATAAACCTTTAGATAGACAAGAGATATGAGTGATCTAGAATAGACATGACAATATTTAATACATAAACCTACAGGTTGACAAGAGTCATGATTGATCTAGAATAGACATGACAGTATTTAATTCATAATTCTTTAGGTTGACAAGAGACATGAGTGATCTAGAATAGACATGACAGTATTAAATACATAAACCTTTAGATAGACAAGAGACACGAGTGATCTAGAATAGACATGACAGTATTTAATACATAAACCTACAGGTTGACAAGAGACATGAGTGATCTCGAAGTGCGTGAACAACTAGATTCTAGAGAACTTGATCAACTGCTGCAGGAGCTAGAGAACACAGATTCGGAAACTCAACTAGGTCTAATAGTATTCAAACAAAATAATTATTCATGTATAAAGTTTTCCCTCTCATGATTTAGTTAAATTTAAATTTTCTGATGTCCTTGAATACTATATTTTAAAGAATGTTTACGAGGGTTGAGAATGAGTGTGGCAGGGGTGAGGAAGAATGCTCAATATGTTCTAGATAAACTCTCATCAGATACAAAACTTCAGGTATTCTTTCTTGAACTGGGGAGGGGGGGGGGTGTCTACCTGAAAGTTACTGTAGAGTAGATGTAAATTTGAGGTACCCCATTTAAAGTATTTCTCTGATGAGCGAGAAAATTGCTGAAATTTGTCGGATTTGAGAAAGTTTGAACTTTATTTTGTTCTTTCGTTTATATCACATTTTAATGTGAAATTTTTAACAATTTTGATCAAAATTCACATTAGGACATGTTATTGTTTGTTTTTATCTGGAACCGGTTTATCTCTGCGTATATTCCTACTGAACCAGTTTATTGTTTAGGATTTGATTTGTTTGTTTTATCTGGAACCGTTTTTTTCCTGGGTTTATTCCTACTGAACTAGTTTTATTGTTTATGATTAGGTTTTGTTTGTTTTTATCTGGAACCGGTTTATCTTTGCGTATATTCCTACTGAACCAGTTAATTGTTCAGGATTAGGTTTTGTTTGTTTTTATCTGGAACCGGTTTATCTTTGCGTATATTTCTATTGAACTAGTTTTATTGTTTAGGATTTGGTCTGTTTGTTTTTCTCTGGAACCGGTTTATCCCTGCGGATATATCTGCAAATGCTGGCGAATTGTATTAACCAGGAGGTGATTATTCAGGTTGGTGAAAACATTTTTGTTTAAAGGGTTAGATATTAAATAACTATATTTTTGAAATGGGTTATTTTGATAATACATTCAAAATAATTTGAAATCTTATTTATTTATTCTATTACGGACAACAAAAATATTTATTAAGTTGCTTATGAAGTGAGTGTTCACTAACATAGTATTTATATAATGAACAAATAATGATTTGTTTTGCTGAATCTTTATATAATTATTAAGTTGTAATCTCTGTTTGTCTGTCTGTCTGTTTGTTTGTCCGGTCATAACTCAGGAACCCCTAAACCGATTTGTCTTAACATTTTGATTGTGGAACTTGGGAGGTCCACGGAAATGTTCTTAGCTTGGTTTTAAGATTCTAAGTTGTTATAGCGAAAATTTAGTTTCCCGGTGAAACCGTTCAAGTGTGGGTATACGACGGGAGTAAATTTAGTAACCTTGGCAGGTCAGGGTTCTCAAGCTTGTATTAAATAAAGTAACGTATTTGAGAGAGCTCTGTCAGAGTAAAACCCAGATTTTTTGACGTTATTTTTCCACTTATTAATATTGTCAATATTCAGGAATGTTTAAAGGAGTCAATACTAGAGATATCAAGTTCTATTTACAGTAATTCAAAAGATGAGAAATCCAGGTAATTTTTTTATCGATATATTATTATGAAAAAAGAATGAAAAAATGTTTTTTCAGATAGTTTTGATAAAATGAAGTGCAAATTTCGAAAATAAAAGCGTCAGAAGATCTTTGTATGTTAATTTAATCTGTTTTATTAAAGCTAGTCAAATTTCGCGTTAAAAATAATTGCGTTTTATTGAATGGTCTGGAAGCGTAATTTCAAAGTGACCCCTATTCTCAATGCTTCCCGTTAAAGCTTACTCGTATCAAGTATGAATTAGATATCAATGTTTCTAACATTAAACTGACTATTTATGATTGCTGTTTGTCCACACAAGGGATTGAAGGGTTTCTACTGCAGGAAAACAAATAGGAGTTATCAGAATTAAGCACTTTTAAACCTAGAAAAGCGACAATATCTTCAATATTGTTGATCAGATAAAGGTTTTAAGGATACTGTAGTGAATCGGGCATTGACATCTTTACATGAGTGGTCACTTGAAAATACCCTTACAGTCCCTTGACCTAATTTTTCATCGTCAAATAAAAAAATGGATTTATTCAAATATTTGAGTTAAAAAACCAGTGAATGGGTATTACACATGTTCTATTTTTACTTAAGAAATTGTTTATGTATTTGATGTTTTAAAATTTTTATATAAAAATATAATATTTGTTTTAGCAATGTGTTGTCCTCTATCCTTCTAAGCCTGATGAAGAAAGAAGAAAATCTGGAGAAATATTTACAATTTATTGATCCATGGATCCATCTTATATCAGGTTAGATTGATCCATGGATCCATCTTATATCAGGTTAGATGATATTGATCCTTGGATCCATCTTGTAACAGGTTAGATTATATTAGTCCATGGATACATCTTGTATCAGGTTAGATTATATTGATCCATGGATCCATCTTGTATCAGGTTAGATTATATTGATCCATGGATCCATCTTATATCAGGTTAGATGATATTGATCCTTGGATCCATCTAGTAACAGGTTAGATTATATTGATCCATGGATCCATCTTGTATCAGGTTAGATTATATTAGTCCATGGATACATCTTGTATCAGGTTAGATTATATTGATCCATGGATCCATCTTGTATCAGGTTAGAATCCATGGATCCATCTTATATCAGGTTAGATTATATTGATCCATGGATCCATCTTGTATCAGGTTAGATTATATTGATCCATGAATCCATCTTGTATCAGGTTAGATTATATTGATCCATGGATCCATCTTGTATCAGGTTAGATTATATTGATCCATGAATCCATCTTGTATCAGGTTAGATTTGACAAATCCATGGTTTTTATTTTGTACTTTAAATTTAAATTTCATAACATGCATTTTTATTTTATTTTTACAAATCGGGAATTTTTTATCAAAATATTTTTTAAAAGTTTCCAGTATTAAGCAATACATGTTTTTAATGCAAATAATCATTTGTTCAAATATTCTTCTTTCCTGGGTATCCTTATTCATATATTTAGTTGTGTTGCATCAGCTGCATAGCCTCCCCCCTTTAAAAGTCTATTACGCAGTTCTGAACATTTCTACTTACTTTTTTTGATGGCTTTACTTTGTTCCCATGATTATGTGTAATGGGTATCCATGCTGTTTAAAAGTTTGTTAGAAAATAGAAAATAGAAATTCTTGTTTATTGTCTTCTTGAATACGCTGACGACCGTAGTCAACATGGAAACGCCTCAACAGGGAAATGTTTTAAAATAAGGGACTCATAAAACTAATTTAATGTCGTCTTCTCTCATTAAAAAAAAATATTTTAACAATTTTAAGTTGAGAGAAGACGACATTAAATTAGTTTTATGATTCTGTTTTTTTGAGGCATTTCCGTGTTGAGTCCATGTCACCGAAAAGTTAACCCTGAGTACTCAACATTTAACACATACAATCATTCATTAGTTAGAGAAAAAAACCCAAAAAATTTAGATATTTGAATTGCTCATTATTTTAACAATTAAAATATTTTTTTCTTTAATAGTTTATATTCTAGGAGAGGAAGTTGAATTCTCTGCCCTGTGTATAAAACATATTGTGTTAAAGCATCGTCTTGTGGAATTAGAGAGCTTAAAGAGACAAGCTCTTCTACCCATTCTCATAGGAACATTATACAACGATATTTAAAGGAATTCCCACCGAAACTTCATGGGATACTTTTATAACCTTTATTATTAAGGTTATCTTAAGGTTGAAATGTGATTGGTAGAATATCCTTAAGACTCTTTTTTTATTTGAGCTGATAGATCTTAAACTTTTAAACATTTGTTCTAATTGTTGAATGCTGTCTGCACAGATCTAGAAATCCTTCCTGAGCTAGATATAGACTCTGTATCCAGTATTGTTCAAGATTTTACATTCCTCACGGACAAAATTCTCACTACTAATATCGGTAAGTTTTTACTAGTTGAACTAAGCAGACGTAGGTGAATACTTTTCTTTTGCGTCGGTTCAATTTGAACAGAAGTTTATTTTAGTATATGTAGATCATTTAAATTTTGTATGACAGTTCTGTCATGAAAGGTTCGACATTTTATTTTTTCATTTTTAATTAAGCCAACGTAATTGAGCAATTTTGTCATGGGAATTCTAGTTTGTGACAGAAAACGAAATTATAGTTTGGCCGAGTTTGGGGCAAGGGTGTAATGCAAGGAAAGTTAATTGCGGTTGCGTATACTCTGCGTACATATTGAAACCAGTTCTCTTTGGGCGGAATTTGTAAACAAGAATAGATGCATCAGTGTTCGTTTAGTATCCGAGGAGGTTAAAAGCATTAGATTTGATAATTTTGATAATTCACATAATAGTTTCTTACGATCAGAATATTTCATTGATTTTTTTTTGTGAAAAATGGATCCCATGTCAGGCGGTAACATCCGCCTTGTGTTTACATTACCGCACAGAGACAGTACACTGCAGTACAAAAGATGCGTACACTTCTGAAATAACTTTCTTTGCATTACATCTTTGGTTTGGGGGGTGGATGGACTCCCAATAGCCTGATAGCATTTGATTAGCATTGCACACAATTATTATCTAAAAAAATGCTGAGACTCCTAAACTTTAACATCGGAAGAATGATGGTTTAAGAAAAGGGAATGATGATTGAAAAAAGTGGGAATGATAACTGAAAAAAGTGGGAATGATGACAGAAAAAAGTGGGAATGATAACTGAAAAAAGTGGGAATGATGTTTGAAAAGGGTATGGTATGTGTGAATAAGATGTTTGACCCGATTGATTTTTAAACTGTATATATAATATATATATATTAAAGGAAATTATATATAATAGGAAGTGTAGAGGATCTTGAACCTGAAATTATTATGAATTTGCTTGAAATTATTCAAAGTGCAGCTGCTATCACAATTCATCAGTCAAGATTGCAAGGTATGTTATATTGTGTAGAAATACTACCCCCCCCCACAAATCAATTTTAAAAAAGAGAAAGAGGGATTAGGACTCAGACAAGATTTAAATGATACCAATGAATCGGAAATGCCCCCAAAAAATAAGTCTGCAGTCTCTGTTTTTGTTTTTTTGTTCAGTTTTAATGTTTCAGGAATGCAGAGTTTACTGCTGAACACATTATACCTGCTGAGGATGGTCCATGAGGCCGGGAAGAACGGGGTCGAGGATTTTAAACCAATTGGTAAGGGAGTGGCAAATATATGTTATTATGTTTGTGGGGATAAAAATGAAAAATATAACACCACTAGGCAATTTTGTTCACCTTTTATTTTAGCCAAAAAATTTTTATTTCTCCAAAAATCATTTGCGTTCCCCAATTCATGAAAAGATTCCAAAAACAAAATTTCTCTCAATGCAAACATACCTTACATCTGGAGGGGTGTGGGGGGGGTATGGTGAGAAAATGTTCAAGAAATATCCCTGAATCATTATTTGAATTATATGGATTAGAAAATTAGTTGACATCGTTGACAAAGCACATTCGTTGTAAGGAGGCTTTGCTCGCGTTTCTACAAGTTTTTTAACTTTAGGAAAATTATCTGAACTGTCAGAACTACAGAAGAAAACCCCTGGATCAGAAGATGATCTGGAATCTAATCCAGTTTTTGGATTCAAGGAAACAGGATAACATCATATAATCTACCCATAAATTGGGCTTGTCTGTTTGTTTGTGTCAAATAAATGTTAAAACGGCTGAACCGATTGGGCCCAAATTTTTGTGGCAACTCACAAGACCGGAAAGTGTATTGCCGGTCGAATTTAAAAAGTTAGGGGGTGTAAACATAATTTTAATTATTCCAGAGTAAAAAATGTGCTGTGTATAGGGGGTGTAAACATAATTTTAACTGACTCTCTATGCAAATATTTACAAGGATAGCCTTGAAACCATTATCTGATCAACTATGTGGAAGATACAGGTGTTTTTCTAGTTCAAATCTGATAATTCCTTTACGTTTTTCTCCACTGAAATGTGCAAGTCACTTTGTAGAAAAATCATCCTTTTTCTAAATTATGAACATTGATATTTGATTGATACTTTTAAGGGTATTGTGTTTGTGAATCGGGCATTGTATTTGTACATGGAGGGTCACTTGAAATTACGCTTGCAGTTCCATTAAGGGTTCCAAATATCTAACATCATCCACAATTTAGATAATGGCAAAATAAAAAAAGTCATTAAAAATTTTTAAAAATAAAACCCTTTTAAATAGTTGAATTTAAAGGTAGGAGAATTAGAAGGTGTTCAACTTTTACTGGACTGTTCTCAAATTGATGGAAAGAATCCTTTAATCTCTCAATGGGTTATTTTATCGGTCAAGGTAATTTTGAGAACGATTGTTTGCCGCTGGGTTCTCTGATCTAGAGAATTTCAGGGATTTTACTTGTGAGGGACACATAGCACTCTAGCAGCCTAATAATCTTTATCAAAAGTACATCGTAAACAAATAGATAAAATAAATTTTATAAAATGCTAACCATATACGAATGCATCAAATTGAATTCGAGGTTTAAAGGTTGTAATATCTGAATGATTAATTGTAAAGAATAAATTATTTATGATCTGAGTGGAATAATGCAACTTTGTGACGTTTTCAACCATATTCTCCGGATATAAGCAAAAGATAAAAAATAAACTAGTAATGATTGATATCGAATTGAAATTCGCAAACACTCCCTTTAATCTTTAAAATGTTTAGGCTTTATGTGACAAGCATCCAGAAAATCAGAATATTCTCTTCAATTTACGTCGACAGGGATTAATACAACCATATTTTTGATCAATGCATGTGGTTTAATTTGAATCGGGTTTAATTTTTTATTAATTGTTAAATAAGTAAAGTCACTTTGAATTTGAAGTATGGAAGAATGACATCCCTTAAAGTCTGATTTGATTTGATTATAGTTAATATTTAGTTATTGTTTTCTGCACTCTGCAAACTTTAAAGCATAGAAAGTTCAGATATTTCTTTCTTCCGTGGACATGCATTTTCCTTGTTTCCAATTATTATTGCTTTGTTCGAAAATAATATATTTTTGCATATTTTGTAAAAAAAAAAGATTCAATATTTCATGGGGCGGCCAGAAAAGCCTTAGTATCAATGCTTCATGGACTGAAACGAACCCAAGGATTCAATATTTGGTTGACCGACAAAAGATTGTATTGATTGATTGTAGGGAGCTGCTGATTCAACATTACTCAAGGAACTAGGGCTTCGACTTCCGGCAGAAACTTGATAAACTCGTCCCTCCGGCTTCCGGTAGAAACCTCCTATTCTCTCCATTCCGGTTTCCAGCAGACGCCTCATAAATCCACTTTTTTCACTAATTCAATTATTACAAGTCATTCAGGCATGTTTTATAATTTTTGCTACCACTCAGCGCTCGACCCCCTAGCCGCAGCGCTTGGCCCAGAAATTGTCTTAGCCTAACCTAACCCTGAAATAATACAAAATAAATATTAATTTTGTTGATAAATATTGGATATTGGTCATGTACAAACTTGAAAGGAGGGGTAAGGTGTCACAAAGTGTAAAATTGTACACAAGAAATTTTCTCGCAAGTCACTTTGATGGAGAAACTTTTAATGCAAGTAATCGATTTTCACAGAGAAATCGTGAATATCTCATTCATTCTTGTTTGAAAATCGGACATGCTACTCTTCAATTAAAGAGTCCCTTGAAATCAAAACTAAAACATATTTTTTATATGAGTAAAAGGACTGCAGGGTTTTATTTCTCGGAACGAATAAAATAAATCTGATATTTTCTACATATGTATTTTCAGATGTCCAAAAATGGGGATGGAAACCCCTGGCACAATAAAAACGGAAATGATGAGAAAGTGAAAGGTAATTTACAGTAAATCCCAACAACCAGCCCCTCTTCCTCTTAACGAACTAGGAACTGCCTGAAAGCAGTTCCTGTCATGTTCCTTTTCCACCACTTAAAAAAATAGCAGGAGTGAATATTACCATAAGTTATTTTTATACATGTTCCTACGAACATTTTATGTAAGTTTGAGGTAATGGTTTTTGATTGAATAATTGAATATTATCAAGAGGCTTTTACCTATTGATTTTGATTTGAACTGATGATTTTTATTTTAATTTGCGTTCGTTTAGGAATAAATGAGCATGGGAGTATATTCTTACTCTTTGCCAAGAAAAAGGTCCCCCTTAAATTTCTTGAAATTCTGAAAGCCCTTATCAAGCTGATTTTATTCATTCAGATATGTAGGCAACAGAATAGCTTTTTAAATGGGGGCAAAGCATGATATTGCTCTAAAGGAAAAGAATATGATATTTTTTCCCACAAGTCCAAGCAGTGTATGCCTTTAATATTTTTGGGGGAAATCAAATTTATTCTCTTCCCTTAAGCAACTGGGGGAAGTATAAATATCACTATTCAGAAATAAAGGGAAAGAAATATCTTTTGAATTTTCCTCCCCAGACTCATCAAGTACAGTGATATTATTATGTTTCTTCTTCTTTTAACATAGTTTTTCTTCCCTTTACTCCCTTCTTTTTCTATTTTCTTCCCCTTTTTTCCTTTTTTTCCCCCTTCCCCCCCTTTTTTTCTCTCTTTTTTGTTTAATTTTCTTCCCTGAGGGGGAGGGGGTGGTGAAGGGTGTTTTTTTTATTAATTGATTGAGTAAATGGCTGAATTTCGAGAATTGAACAAGGCCAGATTGGTTGATTGATTGATTGATGAATTAACTGATTAATTGATGCCTAAGTGTAAGGGATAGGTTGAGGAGTGTCAGGAAGAGAACCGATTGATTGATTGATTAGTTGCTTGATTGATTGATTGCCTAGGTGTAAATGAGGGTGAGTTTGAGGAGAGTAGTAGGAAGAGAACCCGAAGTCCGGATCAATCTGAATCCGGAGACTCATCGACATCAGGGATTAAGCGCGCCAAGGTTTATATTTCATTAGTATCATAGGGATATATGTTTTTTAATCTTTATCACCCCGTCAACTTTGATTGTCAATCAATTAATCAGATAAATTAAATTAAAAAGATACCTATATCTTGTTTACAACCCTTAAAGATTATTTTATGTTTTTCAATATTGAAAATAAATCTATAATTTTTATTTCTAAAAGTTGTTAGTTCATCGTCGAAAAATTCTAACAATCCACCATGAGCTATATTAAATGTAATTGTAAACAATAAAAGTTAACTTTCCTTTTCCTTTTTTTAAGAATTGGGGGAGATATTCCCACAAACTCTATTTTTGGACGTTTTTAAGTTTTTGTTATATTTTAAAAATAATATACTGAAATACATACTTACTTACATACATAATTACTTTCTTTAAAGGTAGTGACCGGCAATGTATGATGGTTGAACTGAGTATGCAGTAATGTAAAACATTTTTTTAGAAATCATTTGAGATATATAAAACGTTTTCACAATAATTGCCGAGTTTGAGTGCAAAGTCGAAACGTTTTACATGTCTCAAATGAATTCTAAAAAATTTGTCCACAATACTACATATTCAGTTCAACCACCATACATTGCCGCAGCCGGTCACTCCCTTTAATCCTGTGTTTGTAGACGGACAACTTATCGTACCGAGCTCAACTAATCGAACTCTGTTCTCTCCTCAACCTTCCAGAACCAGAGTTTATATTTACCAAACCACCGGGATATGTTCATAAATTTGCGTAAGTAATTTAAATAATTTTGCGTTAGTAATTTGCATAATTTTGCGTAAGTTATTTTGCATGAATTGGTGTAAGTAATTTGCAAAATTTTGCGTTAGCAATTTGCATGAATTTCCTAAGTAATTTCGCATTAAGCGTCGGGTTTGTCACATTGTTTTGAGAAAATATTTTGCTTTTTCAGCGCAAGAATTTTGCGTAAATTTTTATTTTGCAAGTTGTATTATTTTGCGTAAATTTTGTTTGCATAAATTCGCGTCAGTTATGTTGTATTTTTTTTAGTAGTTATTTGCATAATATTTGCATTTATCGCGTAAGAATTTGCATACTTTTGCTTAAGTAGCTTTCAATTACCATCTTAATAAATTAATAAAATGAATTATGTTATAACTATTTTTTAACACATATGTCGAGAATTCAAGAATTAATGCTAATGCAATGCATATGCGGTACTTTTAAACTGTATCTTTCTGTACGGGGCTCGGAGACATTTTACGGGGTTCATGGCTGCGTCGCCACCCCTCCCTTCTCTGATTTGATTTAATCACTGATTATTGTAGGGAAAATCCGGAGGAAGGGGATTATTCCGGATATTACGAGATCTGTGACCGGAAATTCTCTGGAACCGGAACTAAGCCCTTCCTTTGTATGCGACACGCGGCTAAAGAGGTAGTTTGTCAATTGCAACTTTGGAATAACTGTCGTCTTCATTACTTATGTTTTAAAATAATGTTTCGTCTAGGTTTCTGTAAGTTGTAAAATGTAAAAACTGAATCAGTTACAATTTTTACGATACGACTTTAGCCTAAGACAAAGCGAATCATTTTTACAGAATGAAGATATATTTTCTTTAGAAGTGATAAAAGTTCAAGGGCTTTAATTCCCGAGTTTAGTTGCAAAAGTATATATTATTTTGGTTAAGGGATAATTCTTGAAATGATATTCTTCTGGTAAGTTGTTTGGTATGTTGAAGTTTTATTTATATTTTCGTCCAAACCAATTTTACAATTTTCATTAACTTGCATTTGCTTCAGGGTGTTTTTTATCTGAGAAAACTGCTTGAGGATAAAGAACAGAAGGTGAGTCAACAAATTTTACAATTATTTTAGAATTTTTGTAATATTTTGGAAATTACTGTTTTCCCTCTAATTGTGTTTTTGTAATATTTTGGAAATAATGGTCTTCCCTGTAATTGTGTTTTTGTAATATTTTGGAAATAATGGTCTTCCCTGTAATTTTGTTTTTGTAATATTTTGTTATAATTTTGTGTTTTTTTTTGCGAACAGCCAGCATATCACCAGCAAATTTTGAAAACAAGAATGTGCTCATCCTCTCTTGCGAGCAACTCCCTCAATTTTTTTAAAGCTCCCTCTAACAAAAATGACTCCCATTATAATAAAGACACTCTTCTACGAAGAAGACTTTTTCCCAGTCTAAATAATTAATGACCCCCTCCAATAAGTCTTGTCTGTCTATTCAATAATTCATCTAACTATTTATATACTTTCAATTTAATAAAAGTTGTATTGAAAATTAATTATTAGCTTTAAAGCCGAACGGATTATATTCCCGACCTTTATTAAAGGGACTGTAGGGCGTAGACATAAATTCAAGTGACTCTACATGTAAATAAGGGGCATGCACAATTAACAAACAGTATCCTCGAACTTTATCGGATCAGCATTGTAGAAAATGTCGTCGTATTACTTGCCTAAAAAGTTTTTTTAACATTTTTATTTTTTGTTTTTGAAGTTTGAAATCCGCAAGTTCCTTTAAAAGAGAAACCGCAAATGAAAATGAACAGCTGAGACAAATTTTAATGAGTACAGTTGTGTATCGGACATACCCTTCTATAAATGGAGGGTTTTATGCTACACTCAAGAGGACCTTTAAGAAAATAGTCAAATAGTAACGGTTTGGAGGTACTAGGGGGCCGAGCGTTTTAGCTTGGACAGTCCGAGGGGACCGGGCGCCGCAGCTAGAACAGACTAGTAGGCTGGGCGTTGCGGTCACTGATCTCTATAAGATTTTGCACTTTTTTTTAAACTTTAAGTTCAATTAAACTCAATTTTTTCCGTATGGATTAATATTTAAATGGACTAAAAACTAGTTTGGTGAATTGCTGAATTTGGTGGAATTGAGTTCACTCGGCTATTAGTTCAATTGATATAGCATCGTTGGTTAATTAAATGCTAATGTTTAGGAGCGAGGGGAGGACAACGCCGGAAATGAAAGCTTTAACAACTTTGAAAACGGAACCTTACCTAAGAGCCAGACAGATCACGATCCAACCCGAGATACCGTTGAACAGAGAACTGAGCAGAATGGATTGAAAGATGAGGAGAATCATGAAGTAGTTGGTTTGGGGCAGAATGATAAGCAGGGAGAAGATTACTGCGAGATTCTTCAGAAACTCTGGATTGACATTTCTCAACAATTTCAGGTCAGANAATACTTGGGACATAAAATGTCGTCATCCAACTATGAGTTTGGCCCACTTTAGTATTTAATCACTTTGCAAGATGGGGGGAGGGGCGTGGCGGAGGTAATGATTTTTAAAGAAAATATACACCCCTGAAAATGTTGTTATATATTTTGACTGTGTTTAGGGATCAGGAAAATCCGAATCTGAAGCCAAGAACCTGAGTGCAAGAAACCTAATGTATACACTACAAACCCTAGATCAGGCTCAAGGTAAAGGGAGGTTCTTGTTTTGAGAAAGGGGGGGGGCAATTTTCCAAGTAATAAGAGAGAGGAAAAAAAGGATAAAGATACGTTTATTTTAAAGCTTTTTGTCTGATCATTGAATATTTATCCTAAATTTTTTTTTTCAACAGCTAAATTTCAGCAATACAAGAACAATCAATTAATAATATGGGGGGAGGGGGTGAACAGTGTTAATACTTTTTATGGCGGGAACTATCCGATTTATTGGGATGACCAAAAGTTTTGCTCTCAACTTTTTGTTCAGACAATGGAGTTCTTTTGAGAAGCAAAATACTTGGAAGTTCTAAACCAGAGGACACTGAGGAGAAGACAGAGGCTGACGAGGAGGACATGGTTGAGGAGGTTGAAGATGTCTTGGAGCTCACTGCTGATTCTGATGTCGTTCAGCTTTCTGAAGATGAGGTCAAAACCGTTGAAGAGATTGAGCACAAAGATGTAGAGGATGTTGAAGACGTGGAGGACGTTGAGGATGCTGAGGACGTTAAGAACATTGAGAATGTTGATGATGTTGAGGACGTTAAGAACATTGAGGATGTTGAGGGCGTTAAGGACATTGAGGATGTTGAGGACGTTGAGAACATTGAGGATGTTGAGGATGTTGAGGACGTTGATGATGACGAAGAAGTGGACGACGAAGAAGAAGTTGAAGATGAAGATGGATATTACGATGAGGATGAAGAGGGTGCAGTAGGTGTTGAAGGATACTATCCTGGATCTCATATGTCATTCCAATCCATTAGTCATCCGTCCCTGCAATCCAGGGGCCATCCTGCTCTTCATCCTTCCCTTCAGCCTGGTTCTCATCCCAGTACTAATCCTTCCCTCAACTCCCATTCATCCTACTTAGAGAAGATTCAGTCACAGATGTTTAAACAACACTTTCCAGGTACATTTCACTCACTCCAGGTACATTTAAATCATACCAGGTATATTTCATTAATTCTAGGTACTTTTCATTCATTCCAGGTACATTTCATTCATTCCAGGTATATTTCATTAATTACAGGTAAATTTCATTCATTCCAGGTACATTTCATTCATTTCAGGTATATTTCATTCCAGGTACATTTCATTCATTCCAGGTATATTTCATTCATTTCAGGTATATTTCATTCATTCCAGGTACATTTCATTAATTTCTGGTATATTTCATTCCAGGTAAATTTCATTAATTCCAGGTATACTTCATTAATTCTAGGTTTATTTAATTAATTTCAGGTATTTTTAATTCATTTCAGGTACATTTCATTCATTTCAGGTACATTTCATTCTTTCCAGGTACATTTCATTCATTCCAGGTACATTTCATTCAGTTCAGGTACATTTCACTCATTCCTGGTACGACGAGCAAAAATGGTAGAAAACATTTTGGAATTCCCGAGACAAGTAGTTATTAAATGTGATACTGCTAAAATTTTCTTTAAGTAAATCTGCCACGCGGAACTAAGCCAACAAGGAATTTGTCCCTTAACTCGTATGTTTATTCTGACACCCTGTACACGCGTTGATATTTGTTTTGTTTATCAGACAAGGTTCTTACATTTTGAAACATTAAACTTCATATCCCAGGTGTCTGCCCATGAACAGAGGGCATCAAGAGAGCTTTGGAGTTTCTCTTTATCTTCTTCTGAGCACATGACCTGACCCAACTTGTTGTCGTCTGCAAACTTGTTGAGGATAGATATGTCACCTGCTGCAATGTCAATGTCGTCAATGAAAAAAAAGAGGACCCAGTACACTTCCTTGGGGTACCCCAGAGAGAACCTGGATCCACTCTGAAAATTCTCCATTTAATACAACTCTTTGTTTTCTATCACTGATCCATTTGTTAATCCAGTGCAATATTTGACCTTGAATTCCAAAGGATTTTAATTTGTCTATAAGTTTTGAATGAGGAACTTTGTCGAAGGCCTTAGCAAAGTCTAAATAAACAATGTCCAAGGCATTTCCTGAATCATATTTTTTTGTCACTTTTTCCATAAACTCTAGCAGGTTTGTCAGACAGGACTTATTTTTAGTAAATCCATGCTGGGATGATTATATAAGTATATTATCATACAGATGTTCAGTAACCCTGTCTTTGATGTATGATTCTAGGATTTTACATGGAATAGATGTCAAAGACACCGGTCTATAATTACCAGGACTTGATTTTGATCCTTTTTTAAAAATCGGAGTAATGTTACCACATCTCCAATCTGGCGGGACAGTACCAGTTTCAATTGATTTGTTAAAGATCAGTGCCAGAGGTTCCGAGATCAGTGTGCTAAAAGTTTGAAGAAATCTTGCTGGAATATTGTCTGGTCCTGCAGCAGAGTTAGGCTTCAAATTTTTAATCTTCTTAACAATATCGTTTGGGGTTATGTTTATTTGTGTCACCGGTTCACCAAAGATTCTCTGATTTAAGGCATACTGGCTTGTGTTGGGAGTATTGTTTGTAAAAACACTACCAAAATAGCTGTTCAAAATGTCCTCCATTGATTTATTGTCCCTGACAAGATGTTCATCCTGGCTTAAAGGTCCCACTCCAGACCTTGATTTGGTTTTAGCTTGGACATATGAGTTAAATAATTTTTTGTTTTATTTTGAAGAAAGTTTCTTTTCATATCTTCGTTTAGCTTGACGAACTAATTTTTTTGTATTTTTTTCACATTCTTTAAACTTAGTAAAATTATATTCACTTTTAGTATTCATATAGACATTGTACAATCTCTGCTTTAATCTGACAAGTTTTAAAATGTCTCTTCTCATCCAGGGAGGTTTATTGTTTTGTCCTCTCGCTTGTTTGGGATAAATTCCTTCATACCTGAAGAAATCCTGTTCCTGAAAAACATCCAACATTCATCAGTTTCCTTGTCCCGAAATTCATCCTCCCAGTTCACTGGAGATAAGTAGGATGAAAAAGATTCAGCATCACATTTATTCCAGTCTGGGATATATTCTTTGGTTTGGTTGAACAGGACATTTTGCATGACATCTATGGATAAAATATAATGATCACTGTTCCCAGGTACCAATAGGTTCAATGTTTATTATTCGCTCAGGGATGTCTGTAAGAACAAGGGCTAAAACATTACCACAAATGTGGGTTGGAAAGTCAACCATCTGCTGTAAAAACTTATCATTTAATGAATCAAGAAATGGTCTGCATTTATTTTCACCTGAGTTATTTTCCCAGTCGATTGTAGGGAAGTTGAAATCTCCAATGATCAAGTTGTTTTTACCAAGAGATTTTAAAAGGTCACAAAGTTCTGAATTGTTTGCATTTGGTAAGTTGGGTGATCATTACACAAGGGTAACATTTAAGTCTTGGTTGTTCTCAGATATCACTCTGAACTGGCAGAATTGGTTAAATAAATCTAAACTATCAGTTTTAAAATTGTGAGTCCATTTTTCACATACACAAGCAATCCACCACCTATACCATTGGCGGTATCGTTACGATCACATCATGAGGTCGGTTATTATATAGGTATATTTCATTCATTCCAGGTCCTTTTCATTCATTCCAGGTACATTTCATTCATTCCAGGTACATTTCATTCATTCCAGGTACATTTCATTCATTCCTGGTACATTTCATTCATTCCAGGTACATTTCATTCATTCTAGGTAAATTTCATTCATTCCAGGTCCTTTTTATCTTGTCCTGGTACATTTAATTCATTCCTGGAACATTTCATTCATTCCTGGTACATTTCATTCATTCCAGGTACATTTCATTCATTCTAGGTAAATTTCATTCATTCCAGGTCTTTTTTATCCTGTCCAGGTACATTTCATTCATTCCAGGTCATTTCATTCATTCCAGGTACATTTCATTCATTCCTGGTACATTTCATTCATTCCTGGTACATTTCATTCATTCCTGGTACATTTCATTCATTCCAGGTACATTTCAATCATTCTAGGTAAATTTCATTCATTCCAGGTCCTTTTTATCCTGTCCTGGTACATTTCATTTATTCCTGGTACGAGCAAAAATGGTAGAAAACATTTTGGAATTCCCGAGACAAGTAGTTTTTAAATGTGATACTGCCAAAATTGTCTTTAAGTAAAACTGCCACGCGGAACTAAGTCAACAAGGAATTTGTCCCTTAACTCGTATGTTTATTCTGACACCCTGTACACGCGTTGATATTTGTTTTGTTTATCAGACAAGGTTCTAGGGGCAGCAGAAGCTTCAGAGGAAAAAGCTTTAATGTTGGTCAACGTAAACAATACAGAAGACAAGGTAAATCAATGAATAATAATTTTTTTTAAATTTATTTTTTTAGCCCTACTCTGACTGATGTTTCACATCATTTTCTTCGAAATTTTATGCTGAATTCAAAACTGAAAAGTGCTTAAATTGAATGACTAGAAAACTCACCAACAACATTAAAAAGTAAAAAACAAGTTTTTTGACCGTTATTTGGCAATAACTTCTTTAATTTTTTAATATTTTTAAAAGCGCTTTTAGATTTGAATTAAGCATAAAATCAAGTAAAAACGCAGCAACCCCCGGTTGGCGGTTGGCTTAATTCCAATATTGACCACCCTTTCTGTCGTTGGTCGGTGTATTCATAAATACAATTTTGACAACTTTTTATTAAAGCGCCATAAAAAAAAAAAAAATATCTTGTCCAAAATTTTAAATTTAAAATGTTAGCCCAAGATTGAAAATTATTATTATTTAGGAACTGGTAGATTTCATGAACATGAAGAAAGGAACTAAGTTTAAACTCATTAAAGTTTTATCTGAGTCTTGAACAGGACAGGTTAGTTTTCTTATTAGCTTTTTTAATAATTTATGTACATTTACATAAATATTGTGCATGTACATTAATATTGTACATTTACAAAAATATTGTACATGTACATAAATATTGTACATGTACATAAATATTGTACATGTACATCAATATTGTACATGTACATAAATATTGTACATGTACATCAATATTGTACATGTACATCAATATTGTACATGTACATCAATATTGTACATGTACATAAATATTGTACACATTTACATAATATTGTAAATGTACGTAAATATTGTACATGTACATCAATATTGTACATGTACATAAATATTGTACATTTACATAATATTGTAAATGTACGTAAATATTGTACATGTACATCAATATTGTACATGTACAGAAATATTGTACATTACGGGAGGTCGATTTTGATTCTGAGAGTGAATAGGTTGGGATAAAGATAATGATAATAATAATCACAAGTACTGTCAATCCTTCAATCTGAGATTTCAGGCTTGAGCTCCTATCCGTTTAAGTTCCAGCTAGACCTATAAATGATATTAACGATAATAATAATACTTTCTAGTACTTTGAGTCCGAGAGTAAATAGGTTGTGGTATAGGATCTATTAATGATAATAACAATAATATTAATACTATCTAGAACTCTGACTCAGAGAGTGAAGAGGATATATAAATGATAATAGCAATAATAATAATACTTTCTAGGACTTTGACTCTGAGAGTGAAAAGGATATATTAATGATAATAACAATAATAATAATACTATCTAGGACTTTGACTCTGAGAGTGAAGAGGATATATTAATGATAATAACAATAATAATAATACTATAATAATCTAGAACTTTGACTCTGAGAGTGAAGAGGATTTATTAATGATAATAACAATAATAATAATACTATCTAGGACTCTGACCTGAGAGTGAAGAGGAAATATTAATGATAATAACAATAAAAATAATACTATCTAGGACTTTGACTCTGAGAGGGAAGAGAATATATAAATGATAATAACAATAATAATAATACTATCTAGGACTCTGACCTGAGAGTGAAGAGGAATATTAATGATAATAACAATAATAATAATACTATCTAGTACTCTGACTCAGAGAGTGAAGAGGATATATAAATGATAATAACAATAATAATAATACTATCTAGGACTTTGACTCAGAGAGTGAAGAGGATATATTAATGATAATAACAATAATAATAATACTATCTAGGACTCTGACTCAGAGNTCTCAGCTCTCCAAGATGTATTTATCCCATTTTGTTTTTAGTTCTCATGAGAATCTAAAAGAATATGGGTTTTCTCTAAATATTTGTGGGTCTCAGCTCTCCAAGATGTATTTATCCCATTTTGTTTTTAGTTCTCATGAGAATCTAAAAGAATATGGGTTTTCTCTAAATATTTGTCGGTCTCAGCTCTCCAAGATGAAATCCCGTGTCTGATCTTATTTGTTTTTAGAGTTGTATTCTTGAGATGCTTGGTATAACTCCTTCTATGGTTCGACAGATGCAAATGATGGGAGGGCTCTACCAACAACATCAACAACATCAACTTCAAGGGTAAAACCCTTCCCTCCTCTAAAAAATAAACAACAGTGGCATTAAACAAAAAACAGTTAAATGGTTGACACATTCAGGAGTTAGCTTTGGAACCCAGCCTTGCGCATAAATCTTAACTTTCATCCAAGTCAAAATGGAAAAAGACTTGGGTGTCAAGGGGTTCATGAGTTCTGATCGGACATACAAGAAGAGATGATTACTTTTTATAAAACTATGATTGTACAGGTTGGGATACCCGTACATGCAGCAGATGTACGGACAGCCTGGAGGTCCAGGACCTCGTCCTCTACCCCAGCAGCAACCTCCACCCCGTCCTCCTCCTCCTAAACCAGATCCAGTTCAGAAATATTGCCAGTATCCTCTTCCAGGTAGGCATTCAGTGGTAGATATTTCCTACATTTTCATAACTACCCCCCCCCCTGGAAAAAAATATTGTAAAATAAGACCGTAAAAAGCGTGTTTTTTTATTCTTTTTGATATTTTTTACCCAACAACCCAACTTCTGGAGGAGAGAGGGGGGGAAAGATGTTTAAAGGGTGGGGGGGGGGATGGCTTTTTACACATCTTTTCTTTAGAAATCCTCCCCCCGTTCCCACCCTCCAGTTTATTGGGAATGTCTTCAAGTAGTCTTTTTAAGCTTGACTTGTTATGACCGAGATAATTGACCGGACTTTAATGAAATCAGATGACCGGACTAAATTGATCTGATATTACAAACTTGAATTACTTCTCTTGTGCGTTGGTTCACGCCATGCTGAAGAATGGTAGAATAAGTGGTTTAACTGACTCTACGCAGTTCAACTATGTTTCCCCTATGGGGTCAAAACTTTTGTTTGTAAAATCCCGGGATTAAACAATTATCCGCATCTCTTGTCGTCCAAGCTATAATTTCCTCTTGGATATTTCTCAATCAGAACTAAATTCTATGTTCAAAAGTAGTCACAGTGGATATTGAGATCAGGCGTTGTATATCAGCGCTATTTCACACAAAGTTTGTCGGTTCAGATTTGACTGTTTTGATCTGATTTGACTGTTTTGATCTGATTTGACTGTTTTGATCAGACTTGACTGTTTTGATCTGATTTGACTGTTTTGATCTGGTTTGACTGTTTTGATCAGATTTGACTGTTTTGATCTGATTTGACTGTTTTGATCTGATTTGACTGTTTTGATCAGATTTGACTGTTCTGATTTGATCTGATTTGACTGTTTTGATCTGATTTGACTGTTTTGATCTGATTTGACTATTTTGATCTGATTTGACTGTTTTGATCTGATTTGACTGTTTTGATCTGATTTGACTATTTTGATCTGATTTGACTGGACTATTTTGATCTGATTTGACTGGACTATTTTTATTTGATTTGACTGGACTATTTGATCTGATTTGACTGGACTATTTGATCTGATTTGACCCTACTATTTTGATCTGATTTGACCGGATTATTTTGATCTGATTTGACCGTACTGTTTGATCTGATTTGACTGTACTATTTGATCTGATTTGACTGTACTATTTGATCTGATTTGACTGTACTATTTGATCTGATTTGACTGTACTATTTGATCTGATTTGACTGGACTATTTTGATCTGATTTGACTGGACTATTTTGATCTGATTTGACTGTTTTGATCAGATTTGACTGTTTTGATCTGATTTGACCGGACTATTTTGATCTGATTAGACTGTACTATTTGATCTGATTTGACTGTACTATTTGATCTGATTTGACTGTACTATTTGATCTGATTTGACCGGACTATTTGATCTGATTTGACCGGACTATTTTGATCTGATTTGACCGGACTATTTGATCTGATTTGACCGGACTATTTGATCTGATTTGACCGTACTATTTGATCTGATTTGACCGGACTATTTTGATCTGATTTGACCGGACTATTTTGATCTGATTTGACCGGACTATTTTGATCTGATTTGACCGGACTATTTTGATCTGATTTGACCCTATTATTTTTATCTGATTTGACTGGACTATTTTGATCTGATTTGACCGTTCTATTTTGATCTGATTTGACTGGACTGTTTTGATCTGATTTGACCGGACTGTTTTGATCTGATTTGACTGTACTATTTTGATCTGATTTGACCGTACTATTTTGATCTGATTTGACCGTACTATTTTGATCTGATTTGACTGGACTATTTTGATCTGATTTGACCGGACTATTTTGATCTGATTTGACTGGACTATTTTGATCTGATTTGACGGGACTATTTTGATCTGATTTGACCGGACTATTTGATTTGATTTGACCCTATTATTTTGATCTGATTTGACCGTACTATTTTGATCTGATTTGACTGTTTTGATCAGATTTGACTGTTTTGATCAGATTTGACTGTTTTGATCTGATTTGACCGTACTATTTGATCTGATTTGACCGGACTATTTTGATCTCATTTGACCGTACTATTTGATCTGATTTGACCGTACTATTTTGATCTCATTTGACCGTACTATTTGATCTGATTTGACCGGACTATTTGATCTGATTTGACCGGACTATTTTGATCTGATTTGACTGGACTATTTTGATCTGATTTGACTGGACTATTTTGATCTGATTTGACCGTACTATTTGATCTGATTTGACTGGACTATTTTGATCTGATTTGACTGGACTATTTTGATCTGATTTGACCGGACTATTTTTGATCTGATTTGACTGGACTATTTTGATCTGATTTGACTGGACTATTTTGATCTGATTTGACCGGACTATTTTTATCAGATTTGACCGGACTATTTTTATCTGATTTGACCCTACTATTTTGATATGACCGTACTATCTTGATCTGATTTTGATCTGATTTGACCGGACTAAGTCGGACAAGGGTGACCTAATGTCAAGTCCTTTAGCCAGGAGTTAAAGACTGGTTTGAGATGAAACTACTATTTATAAGAAAATTGTACCTCCTTTGGACCAACAATACCGACCTATGATTCCCCCAACAATGGAACGTTAAGTTAGAGATTCGCGTATTTTCATCTCAAATTATGGTAAAACAGTGTGTACACCTAAATTTTCCACACAAAAAAATCTTCTTTACAACATGTTCCCTCGACCATGTATTACCTACAAAACATTCATAGCACAGCAGCAAGAATGGTCAAATAAAATTACCTTAACTTCCCTGTACTGTCAAGGCGGACTTAGGTCAATTTGAATTCGAACCAGACCGACTCCTTGTACCGGCCTTAGTGACGCGCAGCAAGTACCGGCACGACCTTATCCTACGTCGACTCGGTTTCAACTTTTATGGCGCGGTCAGACTTTTTGCAGTACATCTGGCCTATTTGACCTAGTTTTAACCCTCGCTTAAATTCGAAATGTTTAGGGAGTATTGAAGGAGTGGGTCCTGTCACTGTCACAACAGATGATTATAAAACTCTTCAGGTATGTTTAATATATAGCATTTATTTAAATGGTTCTTTTCATGACTCCCATTTATAAAGAAAAAAACTTGTTAAATTTGCTTTGGCTTAAATTTGTAACTTTTTGTGAGGCATTCTCAAAATATCTATGCATTATCCGTTATTTCTTCTTGATAAAAATTCACAATAAATAATGATAAAAGGAGAGGAAGATTAGAGTAGATCTTCTTTGGTTTCAAAATACGAAACTTTGTGGATTTATCTTTTCTTTTTGGTGGATTTCAACCTTGATAAAAAGATGATATTGGCTAAAAGTTCTAATTCTAGGTTGGAACGTTTTTAAACGACGTGATAATAGATTTCTACCTGAAGTATCTCCAGTATTCTATTCTCAAGCAGGCAGACAGAGACAGGTTGGAAGAATACATTTTAGGATTAAAGCAGATAATTCTGTCAAAATCTACATTAATTTTTCAAGAAATACGTTTTTTAACTAAGAAAAGGTTCTTGCCACAAACTCAAATTTGCTAATCCCTAAATCCCAGCAACCTGATGATTTACATTTCAAAATAAGATTAATCATAAAAATAATTTCATAATTACAAGTATAGTTACAAGTATAATTACAAGTATAATTACAAGTATAATTACAAGTATAATTACAAGTATAACTACAAGTATAATTACAAGTATAATTACAAGTATAATTACAAGTATAATCATGATTTCTCCCATTTGACCACTCAAGATCTCTCTGAGACCAGGAATATCGGATATTTTCTGTCAAAATAGAATTTTTTTTTGCCAACAAAGAAACTGAGTTCTTGCCACAAACTCAAATTTACTAAATCACATTTCCTATCAACCTGATGGTGAAAACCTTTTATATATTTTCAAACTTAGATTATTTGATCTAAAATAATTCTTAGTTACGAAAGGATTATGACATCAGATTGCTAAGATATAAAGATTAGAAAATTAGAACGTAGCAAAGATTCAGTTCCTTAGAGAAAAGTAACGAAAGCATTTGTCCATTAGAGATATTATCGAAGGGTATGTGCGGTGAACGTAATTGTGCTCCAAATCTAAAAAGTTGTGCTACTTTAGTTTTTTTCACAAGTATTAACAACCAAAATTTTTCTTCGAATTTTCTTTTTAAATAAACAAAAAGTCCTGGAAATGTTTTTTTACCTTTTACTCGAGTTTTATTAATTTTTTCATTGATTGATTTTGTTAAAATAGAAAATAAGTTCAAATAGAGAGAAAAAAAATGTTTTTTAGTCTCAGGTCCTGTTTAAATCAAGTTAATCCTCTCTTTAATTGATTTCACTAGTGGCCGAATTTAAAGAATTTGAGCGGCGGTTTAAATTTAAGCCGCGGCTTAAATATGGTTGGTTCCACTTAAAATTGTATCAAATGTTTCAAGATTTAAGCTGGCGCTTAATTAAAACCGGGTTTTGACAGATTTAAACCGCGGCTCAAATTCTTTAAATTCAATTTCTGAGCTGCTTATTGAGAACAATGGTTTGATCTTGGTCTTGTGTTAATCTGCAGATTGATTTAATCTTTATTCGATATCCCGCATGATAATTGTACTAAGTCAAGGGTTGAATGGAGCTTTGATCGGGGGAGGAATAAACAAGATAAAGATATGGAAAAGCTTATTATAAATCCTCAATTTATAAGTGCCCACAGTTGATATTGAGATCACGCAAACGGGTTTATAATTATCCCAGTTCAGGTCCAGGTTGTTTTTTAATAATACTATTAATTGATCAGGGTTCACATATTTACAACGTTCTGGTTCAGTCGTCTTACCAGTAAACCTTCTCCTATTGAAGCAAGGAAGGAAGGGATTATCAGACGCCATGATAGAGTTAAACGGTGGACCAGGAAGATTAATATCTTTGAGAAGGATTTTGTGGTGGTTCCGGTCAACGAGAACTCTCATTGGTAAAATTTATAAAATTTGGAAGTTATTTTTTATAATTGATGAAATTTGTTAAAATTGGAAGATTTTTTATAATTGGAAGTTGTTTTTATAATTGGAAGTTTTTTTTTACAATTGGAAGATTTTTTTATAAATGGAAGTAGTTTTTTTACAATTGGAAGATTTTTTTATACTTGAAAGTTGTTTTTTTACAATTTGTAGATTTTTTATAATTGAAAGTTGTTTTTTTACAATTGGAAGATTTTTTTATACTTAAGTTGTTTTTTTACAACTGGAAGATTTTTTATAATTGGAAGTTTTTTATGCTTTTAAGATTTTTGAGAAAAAGGGTCTTATGTTCATTTTGGTTTTATTTTATATTACGGTTTACATAAACTCATGATTATTTCTAATTGAGCTGCAAGTATATCCGATCACAATTTGCCGAAAATCTCGTTTTAACCTTTATGCAAAAACAAAATTTTTCCCGATTTGGATAATTTTCTTAACTTTTCTGTTCTGATTTACTCGTAATTAATACCAGGAACCTGGCTAAAATTGATAAAGAATATTCTCTCTAATGTGTATTGTGTAGGTACCTGTGTATTATCTGCTATCCTGGACAGGTTGGATGCCGAAGTATGGAGGAGGACAAGGAGGTTAATACACCCAGAGCACAGAGAAGAAGAAGAAAGAACAAGGACAAGATCAAGGTAAGGAGTTTAATATATCTAGAGGACAGAGGACAAGAAGGAAGAACAAGGACAAGATCAAGGTAAGGAGTTTAATATATGTAGAGGACAGAGGTCAAGAAGGAAGAACAAGGACAAGATCAAGGTAGGGAGTTTAATATATGTAGAGGACAGAGGACAAGAAGGAAGAACAAGGACAAGATCAAGGTAAGCAGTTTAATATATGTAGAGGACAGAGGTCATGAAGAAAGAACAAGGACAAGATCAAGGTAAGGAGTTTAATATATCTAGAGGGCAGAGGACAAGATGAAAGAACAAGGACAAGATCACGGTAAGGAGTTAAAACTATCTAAGATCAAGACAAGACAAGATCAAGGTAAGCAGTTTAATATATGTAGAGGACAGAGGTCAAGAAGAAAGAACAAGGACAAGATCAAGGTAAGGAGTTTAATATATCTAGAGGATAGAGGTCAAGAAGGAAGAACAAGGACAAAATTATTTCTAATTGTTGTTCGTTTATCTTAGAAAAATACTGACAATCCACCACCAGTTATATTAAATGTAATTTAAACAATAAACATATTACTTTTCTTTCCTTTTCTTTATTTATTTTAGAATTGTGGGGGAAATATTCCCACAACCTCTAATTTTTGAGGTTTTTAGATATTTTCTCCTGAAATAAATCATTACTTACTTAATACTTACTTTACTTAACTTTTAATTCTAATCTGGTTGCAGGAGATAAAGAAGAAGATGAGAATTAAAAGTAAGAAAGATGAGAATGATGAGAGAGATGAACCGATTGTAAGTGAAGATGAGCTGGATCACGAGGTAGGAACATTATGTGGAACCATGCATATTTGAGCCGCGTCTATTCGGCCTCAGAGGTCGGAACTATTGTGTAGAGTATTATCAATCTTGAATAATTGATTTTGATATCCAATGTGGGTACTTAAATCTGAGGATCAACGCTTTATCACTCAATTTAACTTATATTTGCATTGTATGATCAGTGACCTCTATGTGATATCAAAGAGGAATTTAATTAAACCGTAGGTCTGCATGAAATGGAGATCAATGCTTGATCCCTAGATTTACAGAACAAAAGTTCTGGGTTCAAGCTCTCTGTCTAAGAACTAAAGCATCCAATATCTATATATATATATAAAGTTGAAATCTCTGTTTGTCTGTTTGTTTATTTGTATGTTCGATCATAACTTATGAACCCATTGATCAATTTGCCTCAAATTGTAATTGGGGAACTCGGGAGTACCACGGGAATGTTCTGAGCTTGGTTTTGAAACTCTAAGTTGAGTGGATCGACTTGAGCAAAAATGTAGGTTTCCGGTAAAATCGACCAAGTGCGGGTAAACGGCGGGAGTAACTATGATTAACCTGGACAACGCTGGGTTCCCAAGCTTGTATTGTATATAATTCTTTGTTCTCTAGGGTGAGAACCTGGACCTGGAGTACTGGAAGAAAAAGCTGGTTGAGTTCAAGAAGGAGGAGATCATCAGAGAAGAGCGGAGGAAGGAAGAGGAGGAGAGAAGGAGAAAGGAACTCAAGGAATGGAACAGAAAACAGCTCGAACGAGAGCAAGAGAGAAAAGAAAGAGAGAGACAAAGGTAATATCTCAATTATGGGGTTTATACAAGGAGGGGGGGAAGGGCTGTGTCCCCCCCCCTCTCTCTTTCCTCCCCCTGGATAATTGTCGAAGCATAATCCCCACTTATGGACAAATTCGATATATTCGATACGGCCATTGTGGCTTTATTGATTTGATTTTTCTGCAGCGCTTGGTTCATCTTTTATTTTATGTCGACATGGACTAAATTTTAATTTCCTCTATGAAGTAAAATTTGTAATTTTTCTTAAATCCGGGAGGGTGGGGGGGGGGGGGGTTATAGGTTGGATGATATGAAGTTTTTTTTGAGGGGGGTTTGGTTTTTTGAGACATTAATTGAAAAAATTAACAGATATGAAGAAGAAATGGCAGGGGAAGAAGAAATGGTAGGGGAAGAAGAAATGGCAGGAGAAGAAGAATACAATGAAGAAGATTATAATGAGGAAGAAGAAGAAGATTACAATGAGGAAGATTACAACGAGGAAGATTATAACGAAGATGAAGATGAGCACAAGGAAGAAGAGTTTGATGATGAGAATGAGGGAGCTCAGGAAGATAGAATCAATATTGATGAGACTATTGATGATGCTCAAATAGAATCATCAAAGCCAGGTATCAAACTGTTATTTTTATAAATGACAAAAAAATTATATCGTTTGGATTTTTGTCCAAAAATTAGTTATTTAAATTACACTTTACCTTAAACAGATGAGTGTCCTATTTATAATACTGCTCTAAAAGTCTTTTTTTCTGGAGCGGGACTAATTGGGGCCATTTCTGCAAATATTATTGATATGATATGATTATTGAAATCAATATTTGAATTATTTAAAGGGACTGTTGTCGTAATTTAAGTGGCCTCCTTTTTTAAAAAAAGGGCATGCCCAATTCACCAGGTTTCCTTGAGACCTTTATTATAAAATGTGAAAGATAATGTCGTTTTTTAGCTTACATTCAATTTCTTCATTTTTCTGAAGCAGGAAATGCGCAAGTCTCTTTTATAGGGGAACCACAAATGATAAAAGTTCGTTTTAAGAAACAAACTATGACAATATAATTTATACTTGATCAGACAAAGTTATCAAGAATAACCTTGTGAATTGAACATGCCAGTCTATCAATGGAGGGAGTTAACTGATATTACGTGTAAACTGTACACTGTACAGTGTACAGTGTACAGTCCCTTTAAAAGTGTATTATTTTTTATAATTAATAAAATATTTGTTAAGAATCTGAAAATCAAGGATTCTCCGACTCAGCAGCTTATTATATCTCCTCTATTCACAGTCAAGAGGAACAACCAGAGGTCAGTGCTTCCGGTTTATTTCCGGTTTATAGATATATATGTAAAACTAGACAGTAGATCGGTGGTGGATATCGGGATTAATGCTTGATCTACTCTTTTTCTTAATCTCCAGATTAAATAATGCTTGTTCTCTTCTTGTTATTAGTCTCCAAATTAATTAACCGATCGGAATTAAAGTTTTCAGCTCTGATCAAAGATTTACCACTGTATATTTCCGGCTAAGTATGAAACATAATGTTTAGTATATTTCTTTGTAACATAAAAATGTGAAGTTTCATTCAGAAATATAGTTGTATGCATAAATATACATTTCTAAGGGGAAATGTGGGAGGAATTTTTTCCTTATTCAGAAGTTTTTTTTCTTTCACAGAAATGAATCAGTTCTCTCAAATTTAAAAAAAAAAGAACAGTTGTGAATTCTGACATTTAATACCCGTTCCTTTCTTGGATTACTCGTAAATTGTTGACAAAATTGGCTGAGGTTTGGCTGAGCATGAAACTTTGATTTCCATGAAAAATCTCAATTTTTCAGGAGAGTAAAGAAGTGAAAGAGATGAAGGATGACTGGGACTCCAGTGAGGAAGAAAACCCAGGTTCAGATCTGAAACCTGAATCTGAAACTTTGATTGCTGATCCTCTCCAACCCTCCTCGGATGAGGACCCTAGTGGACCCCTCCAAGACAATCCATCTGAAGCTGCCTCTAAACCTGCTACTTCTAGTGTACCTGCACAGAAAGATCTCACAGTTCCAGATGATTCTACTGTTGCTGATACCACTCCAGAAGATTCTACCGCTGCTGAAGATGATTCTACTGCCGCTGAATCCAATCATGTAAACTCTACTTCAGCTGATCTTGTTCAAACTGACTCAGCTACATTAGACTTGCCTCCTGAAGATCTTGAACACTCTGATACTAATCAAGCAGCTTTAACTGCTGATACTTCTTCACCTGGAGTTGAAGCTGAAACTTCTGATTCACTGTCACCGCCAAAAGAGCAAATTCAAGGTAGGTTTTATTCTGTCCTTATCTTTTCATGTATGGATCATAATCTGTAAAACCTTTCTTTAAATAAGAGAATTTTCTCGCAAAATTTATACGGGTTTTAAGACATTGTGGTTTGTCAATAAAAATGGACACCAGCTGTGCCATACTTTTTGAAGTTTTTATTTTACCAAAAAAAACTCATTTATTTTCCTTATAAATCATTTATGTTTCCCCAATTCAGCAAATATACGCAATATTATTATGATTTTCCAAGAAAGATTAACCCTGCTCACCAAAATCTAGACAACTAAAAGTTTTCATCAATTTTTTTAGACAGCCTCGACTTTGAAGTGTCGCAACGCCTTGACCTTTGGTTTTACCTCACAAACTCTCTTATAAAGGACCTCACTAGTCTCCTGGAGTTTGTAATAACTCTTGTAATAATAGAGATAAATGGTGCTAACTTTGCACCTATATTCTTTTAATCCATTAGGGGCATAAAAAAATTTCAAATTTTTTTTCTGCGCCCCTGTTGATAAAAATGGTTCATTTTGGATCTTTAAGCTATTGAAGACACTTCCTAAAGGATTGTATGGTTTAAAATATTATAAAATTATTATTTTCTTACTTTTAGACTAATGAAATCCAGAAGGGGAGTGTTTAGTGATATTTTTCCTCTTAACGCCCCTGAAGAAGTATATATTTATGATTTATCAATTCAAATAACTACAAAACATTTTTAGAATTTTACTTGCCTTTTTTTATTTAATGCATTATTGGCACTGATTCCTCTTCATTTTTCAGGAGTCTGATGTGGATCAAAGGACCCCCCTGACTGTTGGCTTTTTGGCCCCTGAACCATACAGGGCTCCTCCTGCAAGCTGAATCTGTCCTTGTTAGGCTATTTTGTCATGGTCTAATATTCTGTCAGACCTAAAATCTTGAAAACAATAATGATACATCGGCAAAAAAATATTTATATATATAAATACCTGTTTTGGTCCAAATACCCCCCTTTCTACGCCCCTGATCAAGAAAAAAAAATTTTAAATTTTTTATGCCCCTTATGGATTATAAGAATATAGGTGCAAAGTTAGCACCATTTATCTCTATTATTACAAGAGTTATTACAAACTCCAGGAGACTAGTGAGGTCCTTTTTGTAGCTGCAACACTTTTGTTTCTAGCTTAAGTTTTAAAGGAGCAATTGGCAAAATACTGCTTGGATTTTTGGTTGAGCGCGCACGCACATCTTGGTTCGCAATGTGCTATAAATCTTAAATACAATAGAAAAACCTGGAATCTAGAAAAAAAGGTCAGCTTAGAAAATATTTTGTATAAAAATGTTCTTTTTAAAGATGGTGAATCTGAGAAGGAAGGAAGAGCAGAAGCTGATGAACCTAAGGAAGAGGAAACTCAGGTTTCAGACAAATCACAAGCACAAATACCACAGGTTAGTACCCCCCCCCTCCTCCTCCCTCCTTTTAGATGTTCAGCAAAATATTCCTTATAAATCTATGAAATATAATATTCTTGCCTAAGATCTCAATTTACCGAATCTTAATGATAAATATTTGATTTTATTTAACACTTTTGTGCACATAATTGGGTAAGGATTTTTTGATAATACGGAAATGTTTTTAGTTATTTGATAATTTCAAATTTTTAGGAATATTCATTCTTTCTTTTAAAATTGGTTTTTAAAAAAACATACTTAAATATTTGTTCTGCAAGTTTGCGCGAAGCGTCAAATTTAATTTTTATTATTTAGTTTTGCAAGTTAACTTATTTTTTAGGAGAAGCATATCTAGAGTTCATTATCAGAGCTTTCCAATCCACTTAAAAGTTTATAATCGGAAAATATGAAAAGTGAACATCTAAATTCTCAAAATACTGTAGATCTCCATATATAGAGTCCCCTTTGAATATTTGTCTGATCAAGTATGAATTAGATAATTAATTCCGTAATGTTAATAATTTCAAAAATTGATTATTTTAGCGTGGGGGTTCTCTTCAAATGGGACTTAAGCATTTTGCTACTGGAAAACATGGTGGAATTATCTGAATTGTTCACTGTTACAACGACGTCATTTTCCACATTATTGAACAGATTAAGGGTTCAAGAGAATCGTTGTAAATCGGGGATCATTCTTTAAAGGGGGGAGGGGGGGGGGTCCCTTGAAATTACAACAGTTGTCCCTTCAAGTCCATTATTAATGATTTTCACCTTTGTTTAGGTCGATGGTATGGATGATGAAGATGATGAAGAGAATAAGGAAGATGAAGATAAACAGATCAATGAGGAGAATCAACCAATCCCTCAGCTTGTTGAATCCTCATCTGCACTTCAGACCAACCCTGCTACTGAACCTCAAACAGCAGCGGAGACATCTGTCCAGTCGGCGGAATCCTCTCAGCCTGAACTTCAGCTTGAAGAGTCTGTTGTTGAAGAAGTTGCTACCGTTGATTCTGATAATGAGATAGTTTTCGGAGGCATCATTGTGGCTGATGCAGAGACAGAAGATGCAGACGAGACAATTGAGGACGCAAATGAGAGAGTTGAGGGCGCAGATGTGACAATTGAGGACGCTGATGAGACAGTTGAGGATGCTGATGAGACAGTTGAGGATGCTGATGAGACAGTTGAGGACGCTGATGACACAATTGAAATGACAGAGGATGATGAGAACAATGAAACTGTGTCAATTCTTGAGAAAGCCGATGAGGAAGAGGAGGAGGAGGAGGAGGAATACCACTCCGATGAGGAAGACAAAGAAAATCATAGATCCGATAAGGAAGAGGGTGAACAATACAAATCAGATGAGGATGAAGTTCAAGCACTGGACGAACGGAAGGAAGAACAGGACGATGAGTACAACAGTGATTTTGACGAGCAAGGAGAAGAGAGAAACTCTAATATGGACGAAGAAATGGGCGATGACGATGATGATATGGGTGACGAAGAAGAGGAGGGAGAGGTTGATGATATGGGCGAAGAAGAAGAAGAAGACGACGATGATGAGGAGGAGTCTGAAGACGAAGCCGAATCTGAAGATGTTTGTGCCGTTAAGCAACCCTGTATTCTGGTATTTGACTCTCTAGGTGGATCTCGGGCTCGTCAAGCGCGCTTGTGCGCCACTCTCCGTGACTTCCTTGCAATGGAATATAAGGAGAAGTATGGAGAGACAAGAGAGTTCAACGCCAGGAATATGCCCGGTACAGCTCCAAAGGTTAGTTTTTACGTTCAGAGATTTGTTAAAGAAACATGAAAAATCAGGGATTTGTACTTTCTTGAAAACTATAAAGTTATTTAAATAAATAAATTAAATTAAATAAATAAAAGTATTAAATTGGGTTAATATACTTCCCCCAGATTGTTGAAAATCATCTGTATAATTCTGCGCAAATTCTACCCATGAAAAATCAGATTCTGTTTATAAACTTGCTTTTTGTGTTCTATGTTAAAGTTTACTGCCCTTGTAATAATATGTAAGGGTAAATCTTTTGGGTGGGAAAGCGCTTATCCGCATCTATTGGATTTAGCGACGTAACTCAAATTCATTAAATTCGGTTACGGATGATACAAATATTTTAACCTCAGGTTCAACAGCAGCCAAACTTCACCGACTGTGGGATATTTCTTCTTCAGTTTGTGGAGAGCTTCTTCAAGTTCCCCATCAACGACTTCACAATCCCCATCACACACCTCACCTCTTGGTTCGACATGGAGGAGGTGGTCGGCAAGAGAGAGAAAATAGCAGAGCTAGTCAGGTAGATCATATCTAATACAGTTGGTTGCAATGAGATTTTAAAGAAAGAAACTATGATTGACTCTTTTTATTTGGTTACTACTTTGCCAGCCATCGGAAGTATCTCCTTGATTCCCTACGGCTGAAAAAAGACCAGGTGCGGGATAAAGGTCTGGAACAGGACAGTACTTTCCACTTCTGGCAGCGGTCAATTTTTGATTGGGTCCTCTGCCGATTCCATTTCATTATGATAACTTCATTTTAAGTCTACTGATACTGAAAACTGTAAATTGAAATGTGACCAGAGCTGAAAACTTTAGAATGGTGGATATTGAGATTAATGCTTAATCCTCTCTTTTTCTTAATATCGAGACTAACCTAATCTTGTACTTGTATTCTCAAAAGTGTATAAAATTCAACCAATCAAAGTCGCATATATGAAGCCGATAAATTTGAAATTTTGCGCGCCATTTAAGATTATATACAGAAACGGGAGGGATTACTAAATTTAAAAAACCGGATTTTGATTTTTCTCTACATATACAAGAAAGAACTGATTAAGAAGAAAATCAAAAGCGTGTCCATTGGATACTCAGATTAAGTAATTGGGATTAAGGATATCTCATTCTAAAGTTTTAAAAAAATATTAATATTCACTTTCTAGTATTGGCAGATGATAAACATTTTCTTTTGAATATTTGGAAACCGTTAAATTTAAAATTGGGTATTGTCAAGTTACACAAGTAGCGCATCAGCTGTGTTGAATTCCAACTGTACGCAGCGTACACCGCGTTTTGAGGGATTCAAGTGGTTTCAAGATATTTAAAATATGAGCTTTATTTACTCGATGAACAGTCAAATGTTTAAAGGGTATTGTTGTAAATCGGACATTGCCCTTATAGCTTACAGTACCTTTAAGATAAAGTTTTTGTCTCTAATCAACGTTCATCTATTTAACCTTTTAATGTTTAGGAGCCTAGCTGCTGAGCAGGATAAGGAAACCGAGTTTAAGTATCCTGATATACCGTTCAGGGAAAACAGGAAGGAGAACAAGAGGGAGAAGACAAGAAGCAGAAGTCCAGGTATTATTATTATTATAGTTATTATTACCAAATAGTTGAACTGCCCGGCGTTGCCCGTGGAATATTTTTAATTCGAATTTTGACCAAAAAATATTAGATTTTTAGAAGTAAAAAAATCGAAATTTTTTAGGCTATCTTACCCCCGGGGTACTCAAGGGTTCTCTTAAAAAATTTCAGCGTATTCGATCCTGCTGTTTGGCCAGCTATAGCTGACATACATAAATATACATACATAAATAAATTTATATATGAGCGAAGAGCTTTGTTTTCTAGATTATCAAGTTAATTTTAACAACGTGTATTATGAGGTTTTTGTTGTTACACAGTAATTGAAGCTATCGTAGATACAGGGTTATCCACAAATGATGAGACTGTAAAGACGACATAAACCACATAAAATATGACATTCCAAGGTTAAATTAAGTCTTCTGCCTTAAATATAGTCGTTTAATGGCTTATTTATTGATTTAACAAAGAACGAAATAAGGTTTAAGTTACAGGGAATCATAAAGAAAACAGACAGTTGAGTAAACATTTCGTACAGTCGTCTCTGAAATCTCATCCTTAGTGGGTAACCCTGTATAGTGTTGCTATTATTATTAGTAGAATTCTTTCAGATTTCATCTCAATATTATTATTAGTTCGTATGCAATGTTTTGCGATCGAGGAGATATTATGAAGGATAATTAACCAACATTTATCAATAAGAATTAAAACTAGAAACACTAATGACACCTCTATACCTATACCGAATTGGACTAGTCCAGGCGACTGTGGAGGGTGTGGGGACCTCGGTGGTAGGCCTAGTCCTTGACATGTTGATTCACACTAGACTTGTGTCATTAATCAACTGTTACATTAGTTTCCGTCCTTTTGCGGTTATTTTTGAAGAGGCTCGGCCATGATTTCCACGAAAAAATGGTTCACCTTTTATTAAGTTATTTATCAAGACTATTTTTCCAGGTTCTGACGGGGACTATGACGAGGAGGAAGAGGACGATTATAGATCAGAAGACGAGGACGATTATGAGAAAGAAGAAGGTTAATTATTTATTTTCTATTTGTTCAAAGGGACTGTAACCGTAGATTTAAGTAGCCCTTCAAAGATGGCAATACACGATACATAATCACAACAGTACTCGTGAAACCTTGATCAAGAAACGTGGAAGATAATTTCGTTTTTCTAGGTTTATAAGTGTTCAATCTGATCATTTCAAATTATAAACATTTTTATCTAATTTAGACTTGATCCAGCAAAGCTTGAAAGAGTACTATTGTGAATCAGTAATGCCAACTATACATGGAGGGTCACTTGAAATTACGCTTACAGTCCTTTCAATATCCATCCCAAGTTTTCTCCAGATCCAGCTTTTAAATGTTTCGCAAAGTTATATCACTAGAGAAAAGTTCTGCGATTTCCAAAACGTGGTCTGCCATTTTTGCTTACTACCAGAGATAAGAATTTTGTTTACATTTTACTTTTTTAAATAAAACTAAAATTGTCAAATTCTTCACGAAATCGTTCATATCTCCAGTAATTATGAAAACACGAGAAATGAAAACCACATTTTTGAAACTGTAGGACTAGGTCGCTTTTGTAATAATTAAGATATTCTGAAGATTAGTTGCCAAATGAATGCTGCAAACTTTTTTTTTGTTTAAATAAGACTACTTTTAAGTGTTAAAGTCAATAACTAAGATTAGCACCGTAAAAAAAGATTAAATTTAAGAATCCTGAAATATTTCTTTAGATATAACGATACTGCAAAGTGTATTGTGTACATTTGGAGGTGTGACAGAGATTCAATTGTACTCAGTGTACAAGTTCCGTTTCCTGTTGGGGGGGGGGTCGTTAATTCGTTCGCCTTTTTTCCTAGCCCATTCATGCAAGTTGCCTTTTTATAGTGAGTTACAATTGGGGAATATGAGGCCGAATTTAAAGAATTTGAGCCGCGACTTAAATTTGAGACACGGCTCAAATATGGTTTTTAATTTGTATTTAATCTTTCAAGATTTTAGCCGCCGCTCAGTTGAAACAAATTTCTGTTAAACCAAAAAATGGCGACATCTCAGTTTAGACAACATGCAGAGAATATTTTTCGTGAACACTCCCTTTAATCTTGATATTTTATAATTTAATTTTGTTATATTGTTCAAGCTGGAGATTGGAGACGACGACTTCCCCCAGGAATAACACTAAAAAGAGCAGACGATGTTGAGGTTCATGATGTAGAACAAGTTCTCATGGATGTTGATGACGATGATGTTCAAGAAGATGATGATGAAGAGGATCCTGAAGGTGAGGATGCAGATGACACTCTGGAGGAGAATAAACCCGTAGAGGAGGAGATCCTCTTGGATCAACAAGGTATTACTATTATTTTTGTTTTCATCTATATAATAAAGCTCTTTAATCATTTATTTATATTTATATATATATTTATATGTTACTATAGCTGGCCAAACTTACTTAATTACTTACTTCAGAAGTATAATTTTTTTTCTTCAAAATTCTATTTTTTTTTCGGCGGTAGTTCAGCTTGTTATCATTATTATTTCAATATTTATTGTTATTATTAATATCATTATTATAGTAAACATCAATATCATAATTTTAATGTTAGAGTCGGGAGAATTAACAGTCCCTAGACTACCAGCGGGTATTGTTATGACTGTCCTTCCACCAGAACAGGTCAAATTTAAGTCACAACATCAAGGTTTAGAAGCAAAATAGAAATTGACTTAAAATGAATAGTCTCCTTTTTTGATAATTTCCTCCCTAAGATCAATTTTTTCCCCATGTAAAACTCAGGGATCTCAAAAATAGGACCTTACATTTTTGAGGAAAAGAATCAACATAAAATCAACAAACTGTGAAAGGAGAAGGAAAGAAGAAAAAATGTAAAATCATATTTTTTAGTTTTTATTTGGCCATGGTTTTTTACGCTTATGCTTAAAGCGCTTTGGTTCATGTGTATCAAAATATTAAAATATCAAAAATAAACCTGGATTCTGTTTTTTCTACTTTTAATTTAGGAAACCTCTGAGGAAGCAATGAACATTTCTATGGAAGTTGTTTCTGAGATGAATGACGAACCATCAACGAATCCATCTGAACCATTGATAACTGGAACGGAAGGAACGGAAGGAGGAGAAGGAGAAGAGAATGAGGAGGAAAACATGATGAATCAAATCCTACACATGGACGAAACATCATCCCATAATGAACCTATTTCATCTCCAAGGTTCGATAAATACTTTTTTCATTATATTCATTTTATTCATTTTATTCATTTTATTCATTTTATTCATTTTATTCATTTTATTCATTTTATTCATTTTATTCATTTTATTCATTTTATTCATTTTATTCATTTTATTCATTTTATTCATTTTATTCATTTTATTCATTTTATTCATTTTATTCATGTTATTCATTTTATTCAGTTATTCATGTTATTCATGTTATTCATTTTTCATTCAATTATTCATTCAATTTTTCATTCAATTTTTCATTCAATTTTTCATTCAATTTTTCATTTGATTTTCAATCATTTTTCATTCAATTTTTCATTCAATTTTCATTCAATATTTAATTCATTTTCTTTTAATTTTCCATTCAATTTTTTATTGATTTTTCAATTCATTTCCATTCAATTTTCCATTCACTACCAATGATTTCCATTAATTTTTTTCTCATTTCCGTTTATTTTTCATCAATTTTTTAATTCATTTCCAATTTTTTGTTTAATTTTCCAATCATGTTTCGATTGATTTCCATTCAATTTTCATAATTTCCATTCAACTATCCTATTTACTTTTTATTCATTCTCATTCAATTGTCCAATTGACTTATCATTTAATTTTCAATTATTTCAATTTATTTAAGTCGTGCAGACCAGTCGTCCAACCCTCCAACCAATTTACAGAATCAAGAACCCTCCTGGGAGAACCTTCCTCAAACTGACGGAGGTTATGATGAAGATAATCTTGATGAAGAACAAGCAGTTCCTGAAGATTCAGCACCTCTTGTTCATCAACCTGGAGAAGAGCAAACTCTCCAAGAAGAAGCTGTTGTCCCTGTGGTTGACGTGCCCGGAGAAGGTTCTGAAATTATGCTAAATCCTGAAGATCAATTGACCAATCAAATGAACTCTCCAGTTGAAGGTTTGGAAATCACAGAGGATACTGTTGAACTCATCTCTGGTACTTCTGATCCTGATGCAGATCAAGCAGCTGAGATCTTTGAGGTTTCAGCTCAAGTAAGTGTACCTAATGATAATCAAACCGAGTCCTCTGAATCCCATTCAAATACAGCAGAACCAGCACAAGATCTTCCTATGGAAGTATCTGTGAATTCGGATTTACATTTCGAGGTTACTGAGGTTCCAGCAGAAACGGGATTCCTGGAAGTTGTTCATGATAATTCTTCAACCAATGAATCAGAGAAAAAAGGTGATATAAACTTGCAAAGTTTTCGTAAAAAAAGTCGCGCTTTTTTTCTTGAAACATGATAAAACTTGTATATCTTTAGCTATGCTCTGGGTGTTTTAGGCAAAATATATTTTTTTAAGTATTCTCGAGCTTCTGGGAGGAAATAATTTTCTTTTGACGAACTTTCCTTTATTAAGAGTGTACACGCACAAAAAAGTTAATATCGCATGAGATAAGACTTATCAAATATTTTTTGTTAAAAAATAATTTTTATTTTATTTTTAGTTGTTGGTATAGATCTTGGGTCTCTACTTGAACAGGATATTCTAGATATGGGTGAGGGACAAGGTAATAACATATTTTAAGGACGGGAAGGATGGACTGAAATTAATTTTTGAAAATATTTGTTCAAAACCGTACATTTTAAACCTAAGATCTAAGATAATAGAATATCTTTATTTGTTTGTGTATTTATTAAAAGAATTCAACACTCTCCCGTTTGAAAAACCACGATATCTTCCACAATATTATTGAGATGTAGGTTTCAAGGGTACCTTAGTGAATCGTTAATTCGAGGGTCAGTTGAATTTACCTCTACAGTCCCTATTACATGTTACATTAAATATTGAATGTTTTGAAGAGTATGGCGAGGTATATGAGGAGGATGAGGATGAGGTCATGAATGAGGAGGACGAGGAAGATGAGAAAACTGAAGGAGAGGAGGAAGAGGAGGATAATTATAATCAACCTCCTCATAAAAAGCAAAAGGTAAGCTTTGTCAATTATAAAAATCTCTTGATTATGATTTCTTTCCTGATCCTGATCCTGATCCTGATCCTGATCCTAATCCTGATCCTGATCCTGATCCTGATCCTGATCCTGATCCTGGTCCTGATTTCTTAATTTCCATTTCTTTCTTAATTTCCATTTCTTTCTTAATCTAAAATTATTGATCTGCATATGGACACTCAGCTCACAGTTAATGCAAGGGAACGGGAGCTCAGACCTACGCACTTCAGATTAAAGGTTGACAGCGATAATTATTGTTATTAATATTCCAAGGTTGAAGCTGAGGAGGTCTGTCTAGATAGTGACAGTGAGGATGAAGAACCTAAAACCAAGTTCAGGTATTTACCCTTTAATATTACGCGTACAGTCAATATGTTAATATTAAAGAGACTGTTAGCAATATTTGGAGAAATTGAGAGTTATCAGTTACGGAGTTTTTCTAAAGTGTAAAATTGGGCCATTTCTTATTCTGATGGCCAAATTAATTTTAGCTCCATTGGGTGAGAAATGATATTTTTGCAAGTTTTTAATTCCTTTTTTAATTTTTTTTAAAATCTTCAAGACATAGTTTTTAAGAAAGATGTGATATAAAATATTTCTTGTATTTTTGTTTATAAATCTTGGAAATCAATGAAAATATATGTGTGATTAATCTCCAATTGTTTATTTTCTTTCTTCTTATAAAAATTTCATATTTTTCAATGTTTAGTGAACCTTTACCCCGAGGACTACCCCAGATACCTGGATTAACGGTCCAACCTCTCTCCCAGGCCCGACCTCAACCCCAATCTCGTCTGCAGCCTCATCTAGGACTAGATCCAGCCTCTATGTACGGACGTACTCCTCCCCTCGGCTCCAACAGTTTCCTCTCCAACCCCTCGTATCTTCAGCACTATCCCAGACAAAATGGAGGATATTTCGACCACATGGGATACAGACAACCAGAGCAGCCTAAACCTAAACTTCGTGAACCTAAAGCAATTGTATTCCGAGGTAGACAAGTATTGTTGAAACCCTTCTCCGCCTTGCCATCTGACATGCTCAAGCTTGTAAAGCAGAAGACCAAAGAGCCGAGTATATCCGGATTGTCCGGCGGATATGGATTCAGTTTACCTGGATACGGACAGATGACAGATATTACATACCAGGTCTTGGAGCAGACAAATCCTAACCTTAACCAAGGTAATTCATCAACGTGGAGCTTGTAGAATATTAGAGCAGTTAATCAGTAGATCAGTGATCAGTTTATCAGTGATCAGTATATCTGGTGATAAGTAAATCAGTTGATAAATAAATCAGTTGATAAATAAATCAGTTGATAAGTAAATCAGTTGATCAGTTGATCAGTGGATCAGTATAGCAGTAGATCAGTAGACCAGTTGATTATTAGATCGGTAGAACAGTAGACCAGTAGACCAGTAGACTAATAGACTAATAGACTAGTAGATTAGTAGATTAGTCGACCAGTAGATCAGTTGATCTGTAGAGACCTGTAGAGATCAGAAAGTCAGTCCAGTAGACCAGTAGATAATAGATCAGTTTATCAGTAGATAATAGATCAGTTTATCAGTAAAAACATTAGTTAAATTGTGATTTTGTACTGATATTTGATATTTGTAATTTTTCTGCAGGATATCCCTATAGTGCTCCTATGTTTGGGAAACCTATGAGTCTACCCCCAGTTCATCATCAGGTATATATATACATAAATAGACATATATATATATATATATATAGATATACACACATAGAGAACAGAATATATAGAGAGGAATTAAAAAGATCTCTCGGTATGAATTTTTTCAGTCCCTTTCAGCCTGAAAGGGAGTTCAAAGTGTATAAATCATGTAAATGTTCACAAATTATATGCAGTAGAGTACATTAATAGACTATCCATTTCAATTTCGAATTTATATTTTATTTTCGTTTAAGTTGATTTGAGTTGATTGGTTCTTTTAATTTGGTGTCATTTCATTGTTTTCAATTGATTTGGAATTGGATTCTCATTCGGATTTGGATTCGCATTCAGATTCGCATTCAGATTCGCATTCAGATTCGGATTCGGATTCGGATTCGGATTTGGAATTTGGATTTGCGATTTGCGATTTGGATTTAGATTTAGATTTAAATTTGGATTTGCAATTTGCAATTTGCGATTTGAGATTTGAGATTTGAGATTGATTAATTGTAGGTGAAGCAGCAAAGTGCAGTCACGCTAAACACATCCGTAGTAGAACTAGATGTCACAGACGATTCCGACGTCGTGGACGATTCTAAAATCGACGAATCTGTTATAATTAACGTTTCTAACGTTAACGAGTCTGTTCTACTTGATGATTCTAAAGTTGATGAATCGGTCCTACTGGAAGATTTTAAAGTTGATGAATCTGGAATAGTAGATGATTCTAAAGTTGATGAATCGGTCCTACTGGAAGATTTTAAAGTTGATGAGTCTGGAGTAGTAGATGATTCTAAAGCAGATGAATCTGTTATACTTGGGAATCTTGAAGTTCTTGGCAAATCTCCAATGTTAATCCCCTCGGAAGAATCAATCCCTTTACAAGGTTAGTCTAGTCAAGAAGTAATATTACTAAGATACAGGGGTTATTGAAATGATAATAAAAAGCCATTTTAGTTAAACCCAAAACATCGGATACATCGAAAGAAACTATAAAATGTCGTCTTCACAAATTTTTAAATGGGTTGTTATACTATTATTCCTAACTCTAAGTTATTGTAAAATATATAGATAGTCTATATGTGGGAATAGTTTTAAAGACCTCCATATAATTATTTAATTAAAAAACTAAAGATCTTCAGCATTAAATATCAGTATGGTTAGAAAACGACACTTTATAAATTCTTTTAATGTCTCCAATAGAACTGAGTTTTCAACAAAGACTCTACTTTTTTATCTCTTTATCTTTGCTACCCAATGTCGTAGACCTTTGATATTTCAAAATACGAAAGCAGAACCCAACCATTTCAATATGAATTCTGTTAGACCAATTAATCTAAGTTTGAAGGTTTACATCATCAGATTGTAAAGTAATAGAGATTAGACAATTTGAGTTTGTGACAAAACTCAGTTCTTTTCTGGGATAAACTATATGTAAAATGTAGCCTCTTTATCATATCACCATTTCAGTGAACTATTTTGTGTTGTAAAATGTAAGATATGTAGAACACGATAGGGGTTGTATGCATTTCACATTTTAATGTAACGTATAAGGAGAGAAACCGGTTTTGTGTTAAACAATAACAAATAATTCTTGAAGAACAGGAATGCCACAATGTTTTATAAATAACGTTTGTTTACAATCAAACTATTTCAGAGCTTTTCAAGTATGTTATAGTACAATTAAATTTTTGATTTAAAAAACCCCATTAATAGTTTTCATTACAACTACAGTCATTATTACATATATACTTAACTAACTTTTTTTAAACTGGGCTTTTCCTACCGGCGGGATCTTTTGATTTGACATGAATGAACAGTTAGTATTAATAAAGGTAAATTCCAATTCTTATTTGAAAGACCAAAAAATGTCAAATACTAATCCTTGTATCTTATTCTGATATAATATTAAGGAGAGGCGGCAGGTTCTAATTTATCCCTCAACATCCAACCAATCTCCAGTTCCAATCCAAGCTCAGAATCTCAGCCTACCCCAATACTAAACCTGGATATTGTGAGTTCGGGGTCAACCAACCGTCTTCAAGCCCAGAACGACGGGGGAGAGGCGATTAAAGAATCATCAACCAACGGCGAAGACGAGAAAGAACACAACGAACCATCTGCCGATTCTACGGCAGAAAATGTCCCAATCGAAGCTTCTGAGAGTATTAAAGTTAATGATGAAGATGCGGAAATGATCAAGGATATGGAAGTGACCGTACAACCAGTTTCTGAACCAAGTTTGATCCAGGTAAGTCTTTAAGGGACTAGCTGCGTGATTTTAAGTTATTCCCATTATTGACAACATTACGAAAGTAGCTTTTCTCTCAATTAATCGAACAACCTTAAACATCGTTCTGCATCTGTTTAAATAAATAAATAAATGACTTCCCTCTTTGTCTCTGCTGCAGAAATCCCCAACACTCTTTTCGTGGAGAAAAAAAGTTTATCTTCATCATGAATCGACCAGGCCCCGCTTTAAAGGGAGAGTCGTTTGAAATTACGTCGACAGTCCCTTTAATTATTTTGGGTGGATTGATATCTGGTTGAATGAAGGGTGTTCCTCTGTATAATATAATTTTCTGCTCACATGCAAGGTCAGCTGGTACACCCTTACCCACCAGGAGATTTCAGAGACGAAGCTTTATTTTATTACTAAATCATTAAAGGAACTGTTTACGAGAAATAAAAGGCAAATGTTTGATTGAATTCGATGTCAGCCTATACCCCCCTTTCATTTTTTGCGAATATTCCTTTTAAACAGTCCTTTATGAGATTACTTTTAATTCGGTGGGCCAAGCTAATTCTTTAAACTAACAAATTTAAGGTCGACACTAAAGTCTTATCCTTTTTGGATAACCCTGAAGTTGTGAAGTTCAAAATGATTAGTGGGGAAATGGATGAGTATGTGACTATCGACAAAAATTCAATAAAACGTTAATCCCTTTTTTCTCACAATGAGGCAATTTTTGTCGTTTTCTGTTTCAAATTTTTTTTTATCTTTTCGGCTAAAATTCGTTGAGATCCCGCAATCTAAAAGGACAATTTTTAGATAAAAAAAGGGATAGCTCCTAGCTCTCATTTTGAGAATATAAATGTAGGGTAGCGTCAAATCATTTTGATTCACAACGGTATCCTTAAAACCCCTTTGAAAGTGTTTATTTTGATCATTTCTTATGTTTTTTTTTCTGCAGTAGAAATGCGCCAGTCACTTTTGTAGAGAAACCACAAATGAAAATTATAAACATTGAAATCTAATTCATTCTTAATCAGACTAAGCTTCTAAGGTTACCTCTGTGAATCTTGCATTGCCATCTTTGCATGGATGATCACTTGAAATTACGATTACAGTGCCTTGAAGTGATGCTGGTTTCCTTAGTTATCATTAAGGTGGAAGGATTCCAACAAAGAATGGGGGTTTCTATTGGAACCAAAACTATCCGAAAAAATTATGAAAATTAATTTTCCTTATTTTCAGAATTCGGTGGAGGTGAACTCTGTTCCTTCTGTAGAATAGTGGAATATGCACTGAAGGAAGTGTAAACCTATTACTGTGTAATTTATATCAAATTGCGAAGTTTTTCCAACTTACGAAGAAGATGACGGATTTCCAGTGTCTTTAATCATTTTATGTTGACATGTCTTTTCCTTGCTTAGTCTTAAACTTGTATAAAACAATATTTGTGCATTTAATTGATAAATAAACATGAAAAATTGGAGTCCGATTTGTGAGCGAATAGGATTTTTGTTTACTCCCGGAAATCCATCTTGGAAATTTGTTCATCCATTTGGGAAATTTGTTTATCCATCTTGGAAATTTGTTTATCCATCTTGGAAATTTGTTTATCCATCTTGGAAATTTGTTTATCCATCTTGGAAATTTTACTCAAAATTTTATTTATTTTCCTAATTTAGTATTTAAACAAAAAATTTAAAGGAGGTTTTGATTTTTTAGGAAAATATACGCCCCCTGTGGAAAACTAAAAGTAAGGAAAAGATTAACTTATGACTTTGTCAAGCTAAAGTTTCTACAGTGGTGCGCGTTTATGTCAATACTATGAAGATACTTTTTATTTTATTAATAATGATTTAAGCCCTGACTATAGTCTTTTTTAAATTGCAATTTTACATTTAAACAAAAAGAGAAGTCTATTTACAGCTTCTTTCTGACCCCATTTTTATATATGTGCCTCAGCTGTTCAAAACTGTTGTAATCTTAATTATAAAGTCGTCTTCATTGTATTGGTATATATGTCGATGACTGTTTGTAACCGATAATACATTTCACCTTTATAAAACCAAGGAAGCAAAAATCAAAAATAGTAAACTGTACTCTTAAAAGTTTTTCCGTTTTCTGCATCCAATATACGTCAAAACGGCTTAAATGATCAGGATCAAGTTTGTGGTGCAACTCTAATGGTTCCAAGGATCGTGTTTATTAGAGTTGAGCCCAGTCGCTTAACTAAATATTGCCGGTTCAAATTTGAACCTCTGATTCTAAGTTAAATATTAAGGAAGAATTTGAATCGGTGATTAGAATTTGAATCGGTGATTAGAATTTGAACCGGCGGTAGGCAGTTTTGTTACTTATAAATTATTATTTTTATTTGCGGTTTCGAGTAAGGAAAACGACGATATCCTTCACATTTTTGATCCGATTAAGGTTTTAAGGACATGAAACTACGACAGTCCCTTTAAGCTAGAAAACATTTTCTTTTTGTTTATTTATTCAAAGCATGAAAAGTCAAATGACCTACATGCACAAATTATTATTTGAAGGGACTGTTAACGTAATTTCAAGTGGATCCCTTCACATGAAAAGATAACAATGCCCGATTTACAACGGTACCTTTGAAACCTTAATCCGATTAAAAATGTTGAAGATAACATCGTTTTCAGACTCGAGAAGTAATTATTTCCACGAATTTCTGAACAAATTCATGGTTATCTAATTCAAAGCTTTTAAGGGTACCAATGTAAATCCTGAATCGTCATTTGTGCATGCATGGAGGGTCACTTGAAATTAGGCTTACGGTCACTTTAAGTTTTATTCTACCGATGATATAGAATAGGTCAAGTAAGTCCTAGAAAGTACTTACGAAAATAAATAAATAGTCATGAATATGCAAGAACAGTTTTAAAGAGCTTCATATAATCATTTAATTTAAAAACTAAATGTCTGCAACATTCCATTATCAGAAAGTGAAGAATAATAAAGGCACTTTTTCGGACGTTGGAAAAAACAAACTAATGCAATTTGTATAGGTGGATCTGTTTCAACCAGTCATGATGTGCTTTTTACTCATCTGGAAGCAATCGAAAATTTGATAAATATTGAGTTTCCAGGTGTTTCATGGCAAAGCACTGGCTCATTTAAAACTTAATTTTTACAAAATTATTTGTATATTTTATATTTTTTTATATTTTATATTTTGAATTTTGGTTTTTCTCCGATTATATATTCCATATGAAGTATGAGACACGTAAAACCTAGGATGATCATTTTAGGTACTTTTAAACTGTTTGAGAAGAAGTTTCTCTGCCTGAGTCTTTTGATCCTAAACTTACTAGTTTCTTAATTCAAATTAGAGCTAGGATGTATATGTATAGTATTCAACCGTCTACAAGCCGATGATGAAAATTATTTCTAGGGCTGACTACGAAAGTAGATCTAAAATCAATCAGAAAGTGAAGAATACGACATTTGATAAATTCTTTCGATAGTCATCGATTACTTTTCGACGCATTCGTATATATGTAAAATTTCATAATATTTTTAATTTTGTTTTTAATCAATATTTCGCTGGCGCAGGATTTTCGAACATTTTGGAAAATATGAAAATGTCATCTTCATAATTAGAAATCCTCGAAACAGGTATAAATGTTTTCAAAAGTATCTCTCAGATCATGAAAAATAAAAAAATGTTATGAAATATTAATTATATACGAATATGTCGAAAAATGATCGATGACTATTGGTTGTAACAGCTGCATGATTTGTTTGGAATTAAATTGATTATTTTACGACTCGAGTTCAATGTTGCAACTTTCTGAATTTGTATGGACGCTACGTTCTTCGGAATGAGTCGTTTTTACAATTTTCACCTTATAGACGCAACAGATAGAAGTTAGTAGAAATCAAAAGCACTTATTTATCTTGTGCGTGATCAAGCTTTCATTTTCAACTGCAGGCCGAATTTAAAGAAAGCCGCGGCTTAAATTTAATCCGCGACTCAAATATGGTTGGTTACACTTAAAATTATATTAAATGTTTCAAGATTGAAGCCGGCGCTCAATTGAAATCGTTTTTCGAGGGATTTGAGACGCGGCTTAAATTCATTAAATTCGGACACAGATTTATTTAATTCATCTTCGAAACATTCTATTTTAAAAACCATAGTCCGAGTTTAATTCAGCCTCAGATGGTATAAATTCCGTATAGTCGTCTCTGAAGTCTCCTTCTTTGCGGGATAACGATGTGGTTCAAAGATTATTAAATTAATTTCGGTCCCAGTATCAAGTTCTGTTTCCTTCTATCGACGAAACTACAAAAATAATATTTTAAGGGGACTGTAAGTGACCCTCATTGCAAAGATGACAATGCCCCATTCACAACGGTACAGTCCCCTTTAGAGAATAGGTTGTAATGCATGTTCATAACCCAATTTTTCAAGGCCTGCTTATTGAAAAAAAAATTAGACCAATAACCAAATATTTGTTTGGGTGCTATGAAGGGTTGAAAAAATGCCAAAAAAAGGTCAGAAAAATGTAGTAAAAAGCATTTTTTGTTATAAATAAATATCAAAGTGTGAAACATGTTTCTGGATTTAGTTTTCAAGGGTTTTTCAAATTATAGTTTTTAGATCTTTAGTTGTAATTACAAAAATGTTCTAGGCTATTCTAAATTTTTTTCCGCCATAAACCCTACCCTATGCATTAAAAAAAACATTTTCAAAAAATTCTTTAAATTACTATTCATTAAATGTCACAAAGTTTTACGGTGATAGTGTAAAAAAAATGAGAGTGCTAGGACAAAAAATACTGAAATAAAAAATTTGTAAAAGACACCCGGCTTAATATTAAATATTTAATGTTACAGACCATTGTAACATTAATCTGATCAAATTCTGTTAAATTCTGATAATTTCTCCAGTGTTTCTTATAAGCAAGAAATGGGCAATTGTAGATTTTGAAGATAAACCACAAGTCAAAATAATCAGTTTTCAGAAAATCTGGCATTGTCATCTTTGCCTGGAGGATCTCTTGGTATGTCTATAACTGAGTATCCCTATTATAAGCCTAGGGCGGAGAAAAACCAGGGAGTATCGTAAACCGAGATATGATGGATGTCTAGTATATATATATATATATATATGAATGGACTCATATGTGTGTATATACAGGGTGTCCACCGGGAGACGACTCAATTGAAAATATTTACGGCCCGCCTTTTTCAAACTATAATCACATAATCACAAGACGTGGCATTTCCAAAATGTGGTCTGTCTTTTTGCGCTCTTAATTTGATCTGAAGATTACAAAAATTTTGAAGATTTTCATTACTTCAAAGATCTAAAACTATGTTTCGTGGTTTACCCTGTATATGAATGTTTATATATATATATATATATTTAGCGTGGGTGTATAGGAGATGAAGAATCATGAGTGTAGAAACAGGGATAAAACAACCTCACATATTTTTCACCAAAACACAATTGTTTTTTTTCTTTAATATATTCCTTTTTTTAAAGAAATTTTATTTTGAAAAAAATCTGCCAATTGAGAGGAGTGATCAGGAAGGAAGTATACATTTGCCTATAGTCTCAGGTCTGAATGGTTTACAGGGTGTTCCCAAAAAACAACATCGGGATTGATACAGTGGGACCCCAAAACAACTGTACATTACGAAGACGATATTTAAGCAAACGAATTTGTATCTGATATTGTTTTTTAATTAAAGGGTGTCCCAAAAAAACATGTGAATTCAGTGACGAATTCGATATTGTCTTTCTTATGAATTAGCATTGTAATACCTAATTTTAACAGCCATAATAGTATTGTGTCTGCTAGAGTTTATTTTATGAAAAGGGTAAAAGACTGTAAAGATGTGTCTATAATGTCTCCGCAAGATGAACAGTGAAGACGGCCAAGTTAACATAAACAAACAAAAACAGCTTTCTCAGTAGGTATCACTATACTAAATCAAAGACTTATTTGAAAAGACGAAATCGAATTCGTCACTGAATTTCCATGTTAATTGGGTTGTAATAAATTCATGGGTATTGTGTATAGTTTACCTATCTGTATTATCTATGTTTCTATTCGACCCTGACCGGCCCGACCGGCCAATCGATTTTTACCTGTTATAAATAAATTAGTATAGTACGAATCTTTGTTTAACACGGACGTGTTTAGCCGAATCTATGTAAGAAAGTCCCGGGAAAAAAGTTCCTGGAAAAAAAACCTGGAAATAAAAACTTTGGAAAAAAAGTCCGAATTTTATAAAGTCCTTGGAAAAAATGTCACTGGAAATAATTAATAAAGTACTGTGTTTTGGATTCCTTGGACTTTTTTTCCTGATATGGAATGGGGACTGCCAATAAAGTCTCAGGAAATAAGATCCCAGGAAAAAAAGTCCTGAAGAAAATAAATCCGAGGAAAGAAAAACCTAGAATTGTGAATCTTGAATTTTCACTTGTTAGAGGACTTTTTCCGAGGA